CAAGCCAATGTTATAACATGAATAACTGATATTCAATTCATAGTCCATTATTATCCCATGATCATCCCATTCCTATCCTATAGTGACAGCGGGACAGCGGCCTGACGTCCTCAGAACTGCACTTGCCATCCACCAGATGCACTCGGTGCGCGATCCTTGGGGGTGCTGGGGATTTGCAGAGGCTCTCAATCTGAAACGGAAACCCAAGAGATTCCCAATAAACTCTTGGTATGTTTCATATGGGGGATACAACCATAGTATTCATGGGCCTTGTAGGGAATATACAGTACTGTCATTATACTATTACATTAATAAAACATATAATTCCCACAGATTCGCAATTTCCATGTAGGAAACAACTCACCTGAACACCAAACGTCACCTCAATAGTACCTCAAAATAGATACAAAAGTATGTCCAGGATATACATGGATATACCTGATGTTTTCCCCAGAAATTCCCCCAAACAAATCCAGCTTTTTCAGCGCGTTTTGGAGGCTAAAGCCAGGACTCTGGTTATTGGTATGGACATCCGCTTCATGGCGTCGCTTGTCGTCCAAGGCTGCGATGACAGCTGAGGCTGTCATCATGATCAGCAAGGCTAGAAAGGTGGAGTAGAAGCGAATAAAACCATGGAACAAAGGCGTGTAGTTTCCTTGGAAGATGGGGGGTTCCAGTCAAATCCAACAACTAAAAATGGGGATATGACATGATATGATGATATGGTCAACTGGATCGACTCTGTGGGATGTGAAACATCCCAAATGTGAACCGAGAGGCCAATAAACATAATGAAGGAAATGAGGAGAAAGTAGCTGTTGGCCGCTTTGTGAAGCTGCTCCCAAATATTCTTGGGGACCTTGCTGCAGGAGATTCCCAACAAAAATCGATCAAACATGTGGATCGTTCCAACAAACTTCGTGGTGCTTGGTAGGGAACGGGGGTTGCTGGGATGATTCTGATGATTCTTATTGTAAATCATTCCCCATTCCCTACGTTCAGCACCAGCTGAGGTTGCGGCAAAATTTAAAATGGTGTACTTGGATGTGATCACCTTGTTCTTCGGGTAAACATCGATCAACTCCTCTGCCAAATTCAGCGAGGGAAACTAATGGATTTGGGGGACATCAATGGGGCCATCTTGATGTCATATTGGAAGTAACCAGGTCTAAATTCCAGGTGGGTCTCAAAAAGTCCAAATAAAATGATCACTTCAACTTGATAGTACAAACCATCCAATTTCGGGATACTAATGGAATTAATCCAATGGGGAATTTACACCCAGATAATAACTTCAAAAGGGAACATTTAAATTAAATCAACCAGTGGATTTTCGGACAAACCTATAAGTTGATGATATATGTTGATCATGTTTGATCCATCTATTTCATTCTATTTCCAGATTGGTTTGTTGGTTCTGCAACACAAAGCCAGGAACTGTAGCCGCTCCGCCAGCACTCCATAGCACTCCTCCCGATCTTTATGCGTGAGGACTGGAAAAGGAATCTCCCGCTCTCGGGCAGGATCACTTGCAAATGACCATTCCTCACAAACTGGGATCGAAAGGGCCACCAGTCACAATATCAACGCGTCAGTCGCTACGTTGCGATGCTGTTGGCTGGGTTTGTCCGAAAATCGGGGGAACTCCCAAAGCCGGGGAACGGCTTCCAAGCCACCTTTGTTCATCCAGTTTCCGCATCAAATCGGGTTAAATGGCCATGATATGCCATGATTGGCCATGACATGGGGCCCAACTTTCGGACAAACCACGACCTGTGCAATGCCACGACGTGTTGTTTAAGGCTCGGTCCCTGGTCAAGCGCCTCATCTCTGACCACCGGCCCTGCGGCTGCCCTCTTAAGGATTCCAAGGTCAATCCCAGCAAGCTCCATCAAAGGCATGTCCACAGTCCATGCTGTGTGATGGTCAAAGAAAAACGTGAAGCTAGCTGAGGTACCTTTGAAGGGAAAACCTGCAGGAAAGTCCTATGTTATCTTAAACCAACCCAATCATACAACTATTTTTGTTGGCTGAGAGTCTGAGAGTGTAAGGACAATCAAAAGATACGGGAGTCTCAAGTTCGAAGATGTCTCTCTACGGTCTATACGTGTAATTCCTTGATAAGTGCTTGATCGAAGACCTTCGAAGGCATCCGTGAGGTTTTGAACTGTGGCAATCTGTGCTCTTGTATGAACGCGCGACGAGTCGCAGGTGCAAACTCGTGTCCTAGCTACAGTGGCTTGAGAGAGCGTTGTGGATGATGATGCAGCAATCCAAGGGGGAGACCTTTGCAAAAACTGCACCGAGCAATCAAGTTGTTTATGCATACTGTGCACGTTTCTCTGGTTTCACAAAGCATGGGTTTGTCTGAAAATAGGGTATCACCTATACATATATATATATGTATACATATATATATATACATATAATAGGTATATATACACGGTATATTTTTTTGCTGCTCATCACTTTTTTTTTCCTTGAGGGAAATCCCACCTTGAGAGAAATGCCCGATTAAACCGGACAAACCCATCTTTTTCTCAGGCCTCAGAGGCGCTGGAGCCTGCACTCGGACATCGTCGCTGGTCACTGGGAGCCGGTCATCGTCGCCGGCCGTGGCTTCTGGCGATCTTCAGCTGGATCCGGTAGGGCACAGCCGATGATTCCATGATGAGCAAAGGATCAGCAGATCAGCAGATTCTGGGAGATCCCACTAGCTGCACTAGCTGCGGCCAAGTAGTCCAACCAAATCATCACTTTGCATCTCCAGGAGCATATCCTCAAAGTCTTCGCTTTGGTAGTCGCCTACGTCACAGCCCAGCATGGCGTGTGAACCCAAGAAACATCGATCAACTCACAATTTTGGGGTACAAAGTGGTACAAACCTATACTGGTTGGTGGTTTTAACCATCTTGAAAAATATTAGTCAATGGGAAGGATTATCCCATATATGAAATGGAAAAAACATGTTCCAAACCACCAACCAGTATATAAAGTCACCAGCGGTACTGGCACAACCACAAACCACTGCCAAGCTCGATGAGACGGATGAGAGCCTTCAGCGCAAGCCTTTAGCATCTTGGCACGGTCCTGAGATGTGAGAATGAATTCTTCATGGGAAATGAGAGCAGGAAAACCTGCAAATTCAAGGTGGGAAAGAGGGACATTGGTTCAAGGTCTCCCTCCGGGTCAGCTGGCATTTTCCTTGGTTTATCCTTTGGTAATCAAGAGCGGCAATGGAAAATCCTAACTCCTAACTTTCATCATGTTTCATATATTCCCAGCAAAACAAAGCTCCGTTGAGTTCGAGGATTTCCCATGTGTGATTACCTATATCCCGAAGTCCCGAAGGTATCCCATGATTCCCATAGTACCACACATGTTTGAAGCTTTAAATCCCATTGAATCACCCAGATTCACCGGCGAAAGTTTGATCCAAGACTCCGAATCAGAGCCATACGCCAAGACGGCATTCTCCCAGGCCTGGTGGTCACCGTCAAGAGTCAAGGTCTGAAAATGGGTTTTTTTTTCCCTACCCCACCTGCCAATTTTGATTTACCCTCTGGTGATCCAACAGGTTGCACGGTTGCGAACTGGAAAATGGCACATTGAAATAGTTGATTTACCTTTTTTTGAGATGGTGATTTTCCATAGCCATGTTAGTTTACCAAAGGGTAATTCATGTTGGGAAAATGATGAACCATCAAAATCTGAGGCTTTCCCCTAAATGTTCAGGTACCAAACCCATGTGAATTGCTCATGCCATGAAGTTGAGGGTCTCCTGAGTTGCCATTCTCTTGGCAAGATCCTCATTCTCTGACTCCAATGAAAGCCTTGGCGTCTCAAAAAAAGTCACGGCCACGGCTATTTCAAAATTGGCCATCTGGGCATGTCTCAAAGGGACTACCGAATCATGTGGGTGTCGCCTTGTTTCACCACTATGTTGTGTGTGCCACAGTTTTGCCTATCACCTCTCATGCTTATGTTCGACATTGTTCGACATTGTCCGACCACTTTTGGGTTGCTTCCTAACCAAAACAGGCTGCCAAGCAACAGAAATCCCAAGTGAAGCACCTTGCTCTTCAGTGCAGGACTCCCAGCCAGCTCCGAATCCAGCAGCTCCTGCAGAGCCCACTGGGGGGGCTTCTTGGGGGGGATTGGTAAAGCACCTATTTTTTTCAGATTCCCGTGTTGCTGAGTTCAAACACCTAGCTTATGGATCTTCTTGGATGTTTTTCTTGGATGTCTTAACCACATGGGTTTGTCCGAAATAGGACATAGCGTACCAAAATCCTATGGTTTCAAACCTCATATTCCCCATCAAAATTGCCGGAAGTGGGGAACACATCAAAAGCCACGTAGCGCTCCAGCATCTCCGGGACCAGCACTTCCAGAACCTCCTCCGTGTCATCAGCAGCGATGGCCGCCATCTGAAGGCCTTCGTTCAAATCTCGAAGCTGCAAGCGATTCCTAAGCTCCACAACCCAGAATCTTCCCATTGGGATATATAAATTATATTACAGTACCCCAAAAATATCAAAAAAAATTATTAAAATTGGAATATCATGAAATGGGAATATAAATGTTTGATAGAAACATATAGAAACCAAGATGGAAAATTAAGTCCCATTGAAATACCACGAAATATCATTGGGGTTGGCCACTGCCCAACTGAAACTGCGGTGTAGAGCTGCCCTGCTGTGTCTCTTGAGCATATCCCAAATACCAGGGGAAATAAATGGAAATAAGGGAACATTTGCTGAGTTCAACTTGTTCGAGCGGAGTTTCTGATTGCTTGCAGCTTTGGCATCTTTCTCCAAGCTGCACACTGGACATCTGCACTTGAATTTGAATAGCCTTGAGCACAGACAGCAAATCAACAAGCCCCATTAGGGGCACATAATCATCCATATTCCCAATCAACTCTAAGAAAACATCTCATCTGCAAGCAACAGGGGTTTGAATCTTGCTCATGGTGCCATGGCCTTCAATTGTAGCTAGCTGTAGCTGCTGCTCATGCCAATAGCGTGGTTGGAACACATGGAATCATTACACGCCGCTTTGTGGGTACAAACAGTTGCAAGTTACATAGGCAGGAAATGGATGGAAATGGGGTCAAAACCCCAGCAATACCCCAGTGACAGAGTTGACATACCACAAATAAATGGAACAGGCTACCTTGGTCTTGAGGCTTGGGGTGCATTTTTCCCTCCGCTTTGCCAAACATGACAGGAAACAGTTCCAAGGTCGCTTGTCTCTGCTCATCAGTCTGGTATGGATCCACGTACGAGAAGCATAGTTCCTGCGACAAATCTTGGATCCAAACAAAAATGAAATCCTTGTGGTGCGATATACGTATATCTACTTGTAAGCTATATTTATCAAATTATATATTTATATACATACCCTACTGTAGAAGTGTGCCTATCTTGCTCCAATTCTCAGAGTTTGAATCGTTGTAGGATCTGGGTCAAACTTAGGTAAACCCCCAAATTAGCCAGGTTCACCGTCCAAAAAACTGGCAGACAATGTCAGTTTGCCTGAAAAATCGAGTAAACTGTTTCAATCCTCATTGTCCCAATCAAACCGCTAACTTTAGGGGGTAAATCATGGTAAATCCCCCCATGTTCACCTAAAATCCATGGCATCGCCTAGCCATTTCGCCATATTTCGCCTCCCCCGGTGCAATCGCGCGCAGCGCGCGCCATTCGGCACAGCCATCCGCCCAGGTGCCCTGGACGTTGGGCAAGCAGCTGTGATTGAAGCGGGCAGAGCGGGTCAGCAAGCCACCACCTGGGGATGTCAACTGGGGATCCTCAAAGATCCATTTTTTTGGGGGGCTTCGAAATTTGGGAACCAAATTTCATGGGGTTGGAAAGTGCGAAGAGAATTGTTTTCATCTTGGGGCATACACATGCCAATTCTGATCATGGCCCACATGACTCGCCTGTGCCCAGGTGCAAAGCATTGGTCAACGCAACACCCGCAGCCGTCTTTGGCCTGGCATTTTTTGGAAATATCCAAGCCCAGGTCATCTGACAACATTGACATATGCAATCCCAACTTGGGATCCAAACAAATCCTTAAAAGTCCATCTATATTCTATTCTATACATTTCTATAGAATCCTCCAAAATCATCCCGTTTTATTTCTTTGGACTTCGAAGAAATCCAGATCTCCGTTGCCGATCCCCCGGGGAAGCGGCACCCGGGGGAATGTGAATCTGCCAGCTGCCAGAAGCGCTGCTGTGCTTCTTCGCTCAGCTTTTTCAAGGCCTTCTTGAGGTCACCATCCAACTGACCTCAACTTGGAAATTCTGGAAGCCCCTGGAGCTGCCAATCCTATGAATCATATGAATCATCAAAAAGAATCAAGAAATGGGGAGCCAAGTTATTTTCAAGTGATTTTATGCCCATCCCCAGCTCAAAACGGCAAAACTAAATCCTGACCAAGCAGCTGAGGCTGGTTTGGTTCAGCAGGAGATCCAAATCGCCATCAAAGGATGGTGGCAAAGCCAGCAGGGGCTTCTCCCTCAAGACCACTTCTCCACAGCTCAGAGGTGCCACCGCCACCTAAAATTGATGCAACATCTGAGCGATGATTCAAACGCTTGGGTTTTGGTGGAATATTGCTATGAGGAAGAGGACAAGGAAGAGCGAAGGAAGCAAGAGGAAAAGCAAGAAGACAGGAAGAGGAAAGAAAGAGAGAGAAAGAGGACAGAAAAAGGACAGAAAAAGGACAGAAAAAGGAAAGAAAAAGGAAAGAAAGAGAGAAAAGGTCACGGTCTGGTCTAGGCTGTTTCGTAATTTTGTCTTTGCTTTGGCTTCGTTACGGATCACCCACAGAAGCCATATTTCAAAGGAATTGAAATTGAAAGCGGAAAGGAAGGATGAGGGTGGAAGAAAAAACGAACGGAACAGAATGCAACGGGAAAAGAAAGAAGCAGGAGGACAAATCTATCTTCCAAGAAAGAAAGGGGATGCGTTTTCGTTTTCTGGCCAAGCTTCGATACCAAATCCTTTCTCACCCAAGTCCTTCACTTCGATAGATGACCAGCTTGTCGTGGGCTCATCATCCACCTGGTCAAGCAGTCCCTTTTGAGCCACATGTGAGTCAAAAAAATTGACCCATACCTGGCCTTCTCTGAAATATTGGAACCCAAAATCCAATGGTTGCGAAAATCAGTTTACCCATGATTCCATGATATAATATGATATAATGGTCATGAATTATCTTACAGTAACTTGGGGTATCCCGAGTCAAACCCAACCAAAGGCATTTTCTGCCCAGTCTCGTCCCAGTCTCGCCTGCGCAGGGACAAACAAAGGCTGGCTTTGCCGCGTCCGACCTCTCCGGTCGCGTAGCGAGCATCCTGTGAAGGCGTCGGTATCAGACACCGGAGATGCGGAGTGCCAAGACAGGGAGTCTGACAGTTTCACAAATTTGGGCATGTACTACATGTACCCTGCAAAAATGATGGTATCATGGGGTCAATTCTTGTTTAGCCAGCTTGCGGCGGATAGGTCCCATACTTGGGGAGCCAAGAGACTCCACAATGGTTCAGATTGTTCAAAATTGCCATATGGGGTTTACACCCCACCATTTGGATATGTTTTTGGGGGACAAAGCCGCAGCATGCTGGGCCTCTTCCAGCTGCGCCCAGAAGTGCACCTCCCAAGGCCGGTTGAACCACTCCCGGTGGGACTGTTGAGACGCTCCTGGCGCGGTACCTGGAAGACAAACCAAAGAGGGCGCATGCTTGATGAAGCTGCTTGGGGTGTCCCATGTTTTGCGCCATCTTCAGGATCTAAAAGTGATTAGTAGAGGCCAGCCCCCCCAAATCTGAGAACAACGAAGGCACGGTAACTTCACAGCGCTGCCACACCCGGGCCGAGGCGCAAAGGGCAGCAGATCCATGGCTTTGAGGTGTGTTTCACACCATTGGGGCACCCTAATGTTGAGGGTTTTCACGCGTGGTTTCACTTGCATGATTTTGGAGTCCCCAATGACTTATGAAACATCTGCATGCGAAGAATAATGAAGTTGGAAACTTGAAGCCAGTATCTAGCTGTGCAATTCAGCAGAGTGAGAGAGAGATGCATTACGTACGACAAAAACTTGTTGTAGCAACTGTGTCCCCAAAAATCTGTTCTTCTGCCGTTCAGTCGCTGGCCCGAGATTTTTTGTCACCCGCGTGCCTTATTGGCGTCGCACTGGGAAGCTAGTCTTAGCGCGGTGACGTCGGTGACCGCACTCAAAGCACTATCTTGGTGAAACTAGGGTGAACAAAAGGCAATCGTGTTTTTCCATTTTTCTCCAACGTATTGTGTCCCATGTTCTCCTTGAAAAATCCACAGACATCACATCCAAACGCCTGGACGTCAGTCTCTTTCCAAGTTTTCGCCAATTTTCAGTGGTAAAATCAAACACCACTCATTTTCTCTTGGGCGCAGGTGACTTTGATCGACTGGGCGGCGAGGCTTTGGTGGGTGCAGGTTTGGGAGGGAAAATCTCAGTATCCATCAGCTGTCCAAAAAACTCGCTGGCTGCTCCCATGCATCCACAGATGCTGATGCTCTCCTGAAAGACTTGGGCTAGAAACAGCCACGAAAAAAATGGGATGGATGGTGGAAAGGTAGCACAAAATGGTTGAAACTGGCTGAACAATGTCAAACACCCACAGTGCTTCAATTTCCCCAAACAGAAATTGAAGGAAAATCAAACGCCAACCATCCGAATGAGTTTGTCTGCAAATTGGTTATATACATTTATAATTTATATACGGTATACACTCTCAAATGTCAAATTTGGTGGTTAACCTGCATTTCCCCAGTAAAATTGACCATAAATTGATGGTAAATCCTGGGAAATTCACCATTTTTGGACTTCCCAAATCATCCAAGGCGTCTCCTCTGATCGACCAGCCTTCACCAGGTGTTCCTTCAAGGTTTCCGCCCGCCTTTCCGCCAGACGCTGCCAGCTGTTGGCATCCCCTCCACGGCCCTGTTTCAGAGCTACATTGAGCTGCACCGAGGAGTCGAACATCACCATGACTTCCAAGAGATCTGCAACGACGTTCAGAACATCAGCTTCATCCTTGAAAGTCACCTGAAGGATTTACAGAAAGTAAGGGGCCTTAAGAAAAAAGATGAACCTATATTCCCACTAGATTCCGCATTTCTGGTGGACTAACCGATCGGATCCAATAGGAAGATATTATCTAAACAAAATATATGCTGCAAATCCAGGTCACTTTGAAGGGTCCCTTCTCTTTGGGAGGAGCTTCAGGTAGGAACTCAATTGGGCGCACTGGGGTGACACGACCACTTTGCCGATCCACCTTCACATTTCCACGGCCTTCGATGTCTCTCAGCCGTTTCATGCTGTTAAGCAGTGAGATCATCTGGGCGTCTTTCAGCTGCACCTTCATTTCCTTCAAAGCACTGGTTGCCTTCTGCAGATGATCCTTGAGGGCGGCCTGCTCCGAAAGACCTTCCTGCGATTGCCAGATTTTGCCAGTTGTCTGATACCCTTTTTTTGATCAAAAATCATCCAAAACAGGTAGTAAATCGGGGTACATCACGGTACATCCCCCCAAATAGGGTACACAATAACAATTGTGGGTTTTGATTCATGCCCATATCCATCCATATCCATCCATATCCCAATTAAGCGCCATCACTGGGCCATCAACATGCATCAACTGTATGACACGATGTCAAATGCATGAATTCCCATGAATTCCCATGAATTCCCATGAATTCCCATGAATTCCCATGAATTCCCATGAATTCCCATGAATTCCCATGAATTCCCATGAATTCCCATGAATTCCCAACATCCCAACAAGATCCAACGGTGGCAACCAGTCGCCAACCAGCACATCCAACGATGATCCAACTGGATCCAAATTGATCTGAGTTGGTCCTCCCTCAACTGGTTGGCCTTTGAGATACTCTTTTCACTCTCCCGCAAGGCATTCTCCATCCTCGCCACCTGCGTTGATCAAAAGTTGATCAAAATCGTTGAAAACAAAATGGGATGCCCCAAGCGAGCGAAAAATGGCTGCTTGTTGATGGCGACCGTCATCCCAAATACGAACATATCAACCGCTCGAAACCTCCAACCACTGAAAAGCTGTCTGAAAACTATGGTTAAAGACAAAGATCTTTGGAATTCTTGATTCAGTGAGTAGCAACTGGCTTTGGGGTCCAATTTTTGAGGCAAAACCATAACCACCTCCTGTCGCTGGTCCTCCATGTCTTGCAACGTCTTGGACTCCCACTGGACGAAGCGTGACTCCAAGGATTGAAGGCTCTCTACCACTGCAGGGGTCTCTGGATTCCAGCCAAGGGACTGGAAAATGTAGCCTGGATGTGACATGGCATGCCATTGGCTCACAAGATGGCACGAGATGGTACAAGTACCAGTGGACCCCGAATTTGTCATTGGTATTCATGAAATTGATGTGTCAAAAGCAATTATCTATGTGTATCTATATGATTCTATATGCATCCATTTTGCGCTGGGAAGTTTGACCCATGCCATACCATGCTCTTTGGGATCCATTTTTAGGCGGAACAAACAAGGAGCTGGTAAATGCTGAGGATTAAAATCACACCCCAAAACTCGAACATGGTGAAAATCTGTGAAGCTTTGAACATCGGGTTTCGCATGGTTTCGAGCTATCTGAATATGGCAGTGTGTCAAAACCTTGTACCCCTGGTGAACATCAAAATAGCTGGTAAATGGATGTTCATCCCCCTAAAAATGGTATTAATAGGTATTGATCCATAGCCATATCTGAATTTGAAGTTAAGCTGCCATTCATACTCTGCATCTCCTTGGAGATGGTTGCAAAGATGTTGTCTTGCAGTGCACCTTGCTGTTCAGAGGAATTCTGGAAGGTGGTGAAGACACCCTGCTGGAGGTCCAAGAGGCTCTTGCAATCTTTCCTTGCCAAGGCTAAATCAGCCCGACTCAGCCCGACCAAACTAAAACAAGCTATAGATTTCCATAGATTCTCATAGAATTCTCATAGATTTCCATAGATTCCCCATTTCTGGTGGATTTTCTCGGGAAGAAAAAAATCGCCTGAAATCGCCCCTATCCTGGCGTATCCTGGCGTCTTGACGGACAAGTGCGACTCATTCAGTACATCCAGGTGATCCGTAGTCTCCTTGGTCGCCTTCAGTTGATTCTCCATGGTCCTTCCCATGGCTTCCAACCTGTGCCACATTTTCCGTTGAGTCGCTGCAAGACTCTCCTGAACCTCACCATGTTTTTCCAGTTGACAGTGAAGCCAGGCACTTCGTTCTTCGGCTTCTTTGCTCAGCTGAAGAAACACGCGATCTGCGATGCCCTTGGAAATCTCATCGATACTTGATGTGAAATGATCTCTGAAGTCGTGCATTTCACGCACGGACGTTGACAAGTCGGCCATGGTCGCGTGAAAGTCTTGGAAGACTTCAACTGCGGAACACCTCTGCAGAAAATCGGCCATTAGCTCATTCAGATTTTGCAACGTCTTCACATGCTGCTGCATCTGTGCGGTCGCTTTCAAATCGATCTTCCGCCAATCGTCAAATCTCGAAACAAATGTCGTTGCATTGGCACTTTCAAACACGGCCTGCAATGAGCGGATGCAATCAGAGGCCTCCGCTAAAAAACTGCTGCGCATCAACTGCTCATCCTCCCGTTGAGTCATCGACGAGACGCGGCCCTTTGGAGGAGTGACAGTTGGTGCAGTGGAGGGTTGTGAGATCGCAAGCCGATCATATTCGCGATGCGCATCCTCGCCAAATTTCAAAGCAGAGTCTTGTAGATACCTCAAGGGTGTTTTTTTTTGGTGCAGCAGCTGGAATCATGCAGAAACCCTGGCTCAGTTCACAGTTGCCCCCCAAAAAACTGTGATAAAAAGCCTGTGTTCCAATTCGACCAGTCAACAGCTTGTTGCTTATGTTATTAATCTTAAGCTTATTACATCCACCCATCATTTGTTATTCATTGCTGATGTGTTGCTCCCCGCCTGTGACTGTCTCTCGACCACGGCCGGGAGATTTCGTCGCCTCTGGCGGGTGGAAGTTTCACAGGGTCCATCGGTGCAGAGATCTGCGATCTTTGCTGCGAGCTGCGGAGTTCAGAGCCAGAAATCCGAACAGCAGTTGATCGGTGTTTGAAACACTAGGAAGACTGTCACTTCAGATCCCTTCAACAAGCTTCCGAAAGGGACTTCCTGCTTTGGGGTTCCATCATTCAAGTTCCTCCTCTCGTCACAAATGTTCTCGTGATTTATGCATATTTATGCTACAAATCCTGAGATATGGCGCTCATCTACGATCTACACCTCAAGGATGCTTAAGGTGCGGTAGCAAGCACTTGCATAATCTTTCATGAGAATGAGCTTTGAGATAGGACTTCATGCATCAGAACTCCTGAGAACCCCCATTTCCTTGGCCCAAAACTCCACCTTTTACCTCAGGCCAGGAATTCTTGAGGATTAGGCCACCGCTTTCGCCAGAGCCATCCCCGAGGACGACAATAGAAAGGCTGTGCTGGTGGCGGCTGAGGTACAAAAATGCGTCTTGTCCACCTGAAGTACCAAGAAGTGTTCCAACAGGGAAGATGATGGTTAACCTGGCTGGAATGGGGTACGATATGCTACGATATTTCGAGAAAACCCAACAGAGACTTCAGGTAGCTTGATGTGTCTGAACGTCTGAACTTATACTGAATGAACAATGTGATACAATGTGCTAAGTCTATCAATTGCTGTGGAGACCTACAAAGCTAGCTGGAGACCTACAGCCACTTTCAAGCTGATTGCAGTCATTGCAGTCATTTTTGGCAGCCAGAGTTCTTAACCGGTGCAGGTAGGTGTTTTGATAAGTCTGGGTATGTTGGGATGCCGTGCAACAATGGCCAGCAAAAGATTGGCATCATGGCATCACTGATCATCACTGGTTACTTCCAACCTTGCACTTGCCGTGGCCAAGTAGACCCTTCTGCCGCTCACTCACGTCTTTGGCACACCTGTGATTCGGACCACAGCTTGTGGGAAGCGCCAACAAAATCTCCAGTGACTGGGAAATCTAGCTTGTTGAACCACCTTCCCACACAAGAGTCAAGTCGAAACTGAGATGCGGGTGGTAAGCCCAAGACTTCAGGAAAGATCTAAACTGATTGGTGTGGTGGGGTGTGTTGTTGTGGTCGTGGTTGTGGTCGTGTGGTGTCGAGCGAACAGGGTTTGTTGCTGTCTTGTTTTGTCAATATAGTTATTCCAAAGATAGAACGAACCCCTTTCCATTACATTCCTTCAGGTCACTTCTCTGTCACTTCTCTGTCACTTCTCCAAACTTGCTTTCTGTCGGCAAACTGCAATTTGATATTCAATTTCCCTTTGCTATTGGAGTTAATTGTTGGGATTTATATATATATATGCTGTATTGGGTTCCAAACCCTGGTTTCTGTTGCTGAAATCAATTATTACCCTACAATCCTGGGGTCTAGAGGGGCCTAGAGGGGCATGCCCGTGAAGACTTACAGTATTTTATCGGGAAGATTGAAGATGACATTTAGGATTTGAGAGTTGCCTCTTTCACTTCCAAAGAAGCACTTTTCGCCAGTGGAGATGGGTGGCTATCTCAAGATCTTCTGTGCAAAGTAGCAAAAGAACCTCACCACCAATCAGAAAACGATATACTTCGTATATAGAGGCTGTGAAGCACTGAGAGTCACCACGCTGGGTTCAGCTTTACTGCTTCGTCCAAGGTTTCACTCCGAGGCTTCCCTGGATCTTGGAGACGTCAGGCTTCTGGATCTTGGAGTCATCCATAGTGCACCATCCACAGTCTCCACTGGGCATGGGCTCTGATCTCTTTCCCGTAGCCGCCGTAGCATAATAGTGTCCACTTGAAGCGTCTTTGCCTCATATTCGCACCCCGCAATCCATAGGCCCTCATCTATCTTCACCGGTGTCTTCTTCTTGGTGAAGTCAGTGCATTGGCAGAGGCTTCTCCAGGATTGGACCCGCTTGGACCAGCTTTGTGGATAGCTTGGGCAATCCCACCACTTTGCAGGAAGGCCCACATGTGACCCAGGTGCTGACAGCGGCAGCCACAGTAAGCACAGGGCACCGCAGCAGCCATGAGCTTCAATCGGCACCGGCGAACCCTCAGCCTCCTCTTTGCACTTGCGATGCTCCTGGAGAAGAAGCAAATCTGTGAAGGTCTCCTCGCCGACCTTGATCTTGTTGCACTGCAGCTCACCAGCAAAGACTTCTCTCAGCAAAGCTTGATGGCTCCCACCAAACTTGTCAAGTACGCAGCGAATGGTCTCAGTTATACATCATGCTGCTCACCCGAGCGATAGTCAGCTGGGAACGCTTGCAGATGTCCCAAATATCCGTATGTTGGTGCCTTGCCAGTGCCATCTTGGCGAATTGCTTTCGAAGAATCTCCACCACCTTCTTTCCGAACTCGAAGTCCTCCTCGTCAATTTTGATGGCGTGGCTTTCAGCTTCAGCTGAAGCTGTGAATTTGCAGTACAAAGGCGATGGTCAGGAACGAAGCGAATGAAGCTGTTCATATAACATGTATTGCTCGTGTTCTGCAGACCAACACTTGACAGTCTGCACGGCACTGCATTTGATCTGTGTCGGGGCAGCGAGTGAAACTCCCTTTGTGTCGTCAAGGTGCCCAAGAATCCCATGTTTTAAAGTCAAAACCTTCATGTGTCCTAATTAAATGACCATAAATCTCCACAATAAAATGGGGAGATGTCCTAGACTCCTAGGCTGGCTGGAAAATATCTACCGAAAACTCTCCATGTCCCGCTGTCCCCAATCTGGTTGACAAGGCTGGATAGTACAGCCCCAGGGATCACAGAAAGACCATCCCGACCATCAAACCAAGATCCCGGCCTCGAGATTGAATCAACCTCAGACCAGAAAAATATGGAGCACCAAGATATCCCAATAACTATTGCTCTCTGTGAGTATGTCATCATATTTCATGGAATTATTGGATAGTTCATTGGCTTTATGAGCATTTTTCATGTTGGATCCATGGGATACCAAAAATCGGAATTGATGAAAAAAAACAGCAGCTATGCTCATCCATGTTCATCCCCCAAAAAACCCTCCATACGACGTATATAAACCATGCATGACCCATTCCCGCGATGATGAAAAATGTTGCTCAGAATCACAATGGCGCCATAGATATCTGAATAAATGTTGCTTCTCACTGTCATACTCAACTTATTTTCAGCTTCCTTGGGGCGCTCAGCAGATTTTCCACGCGCTCTTTGATGGCGTACTTCACAGCAGCAGACCTTGGGTTAAGCAAACACATGCTGCCAAGATCTGCTAAGATCTGCCAAAACAAACAAAGTTCTAAAACATTCATTCTGGATATGTTTCGGGTCGATATGTCTGACTTGCGGAGGTTTCGCTCCATGCTTTGATGCCTTTGGCAACCTCAAGCCTGTATCCTCCAGTGTCCGAGTCCACCTTTTCTGAAGCTAGGCGTGGCGAACTATCAGCAACATCGGCGAGTAGATCACCAAGGCACACATCAGGATGCACCCCGTCACGGCGAAAGCAACCCGAAAACTGTATTCATCGGTGAGAACACCTCCCACCACAGCACTTCCAGCAAAGGTTGCTCTATTCAGACTACCCAGAGAGGCCCACTTTCCACGATGTTGGGGAAGAGCATATTCCATGGTCAACGCAGTGTTAAGTGCCATATGCGCGTTCTGGACAATGGGCCGAAATTCAAAAATGGTCAGGTTCCAAAAGAGTGGTTGAGTCAGCACAAATAGAAACATCAAGGATGCACCTATCACCTGTGTTCCCATGACCAAGACTGGACGCCGCGCGATCCGCGACAGGAACGCTGCTGTATAGCTTCCCAAAGCTGTTGAGACCCAGTAGCCCGCCATGATCCAGCAGACCGCCATGTCGGACAGGCCGTACTCCTGATGGTAGAAGAGAGGAAAGAACTTCAAGGCAATTCCTCCACCCATCATGATGAACAGGTTGAAGACCATCGCCAAACCTGGAACAAAGACATGTTTGGGAATTCCCAAGACCCTCTCATGCGCATGTTCGGAGTGTCCGGAGCTGGACGCCAGTGGAGCAGAGGAAGCAGTGCAGCCCAGGTCCACCGAATGTCGAGGCGTTTGCAATTGCCAAAGGATCAGCAAAAATGCTATGAGGCCAGAAAAACCTGGCGCAGCATGGTTTCGATTGAGATGGCCATGACACTTGTTCAACCAGTGCAAAAAAGGGCTGAACATGGCTCAGCATCTTTGATGAGAACTCAACCACCAGTGATAAGATACACAAAGAGCACCCCTAATATGGAATGTCAACTCCCCAATCAAGACCCTGCTTTCGTACTGGATCTATATATTATTGTTTTTTTTTTGAGGTCCCCAAAATTGGGGGTACAGTTGTACCACGAAATCCCATTGTTTGTCATCTTCCCCAGTAGTCCATAAATGCATATGGTCAGGGGATGGGATTGCAGTGAACCTACCCGCTGGCCTCCAACAAGGAGCTTGCCGAGCTCCTTCTTGGAAGGAAAAATGAGTAGCACCACCGCCTCACTGTTGGGCAAAAGATCTGCCACCAGTTTTGATACCGCAAAAACGTTCAAGGACATATAAGACAACTTATGACAACTTATGACAAACTATGACAACCTATGACAGGCTATGACAACTGTCACACTCTACGCTATATGACAACATGTTTGAAAAACCTTGACTCTGCTACTGATTGTGCGGCACATAATTACGAGGACATGCTGATCCTTGCCAGTCATCCTCCTGCCCGACAAGCGAAACCCTCTGAAAGTTCTAACCTGCCACTGGAGCAATTCTAGATGATATGTTGATGATTTTCCTCGCAAAAATCAGAATTGATACACATCAGAATAATTGCCATGTTTGCGGTCATCCGGCCAATGGGTTCCCTTTGTGTATGTTCAAAATTATTGACCCTGATTGCTTGAATTTGCAAACCAACCTATTGTTGGCACATTGGCAACTGAGCACTTTGAGGACCCAAAATGGTTTGCCCAGGAATTGTTTATCACTGTTAACCACGATTAACCATGCATTCAATTGAGATTTACCAATAATTATTGACCATTATATACATGCATGATATTGACATTACATGAACCATACAAGCTGTAAGATTCAGCCATCCCCCCATGTTTTTCCACCCGGCCTGCAGTCCCGGCCCCAGTGCTCTTGAGGACGTCTGTAGGGTGCGCGCCACCGCATAGGCCCCCGTGCGCTTTGGCGGCGGCAGCGTGTCCGCCAGCAGCGCGTCAAGGCTGGCGGTGGCCGCCTGGAAAAAGATGGCGTACAAAGCCAAACCCGGCACAGCGAGCGGCAAATGCTCCGATAGGATGCCTCGAAAGTGGCTGGTGGGTTTGAACAAGAAAAACTGGAACTAGTGGTGATGGTGGTGATGATGATGATGATGAGGAGTGTAAAGTTTATTGGGGATATCATCATGTTGGGGGTGATGTATTTGAATCGACTAGATCTTGCAAAAGAAAATATGCACATGACGCCTAAGATTGAGGTTCATACTCAACTGTGGATCAAGGTTGAAGGGGAAAAAATAAAACGCCGAGTCCACGACTGAAGGCCATTTGAAATCGGACTAATTACATTAGTTGCTGAATTCGACTACATTAGCTGCTAAATAATTAGTTGTTGAATCCACATAAGTTTCTGAATCTGAATTTCTTCGAAGGATTCTGGTGAGTGTTGATATTCTCAGTGATACTTCACCGCGATTCCCAAGTCAATGCAAGGATCTAATGGACAGTACCAGAGCACCCGTCAGCCCGAAGCAAATCATGGCACATCGCAAGACACAAAGACGATCGAAACGATCAAAAAGAAAGCCCAACGGTACTGCCACCACCAGGCAAGTGATGCCCCTACTGGATTCCATGATCCCAATAAACTCATTGGGATGTGGATAGCCCTGTCTCCTCGCCAAGTCATTGATATAAACATCAAAGAGAGTGCCCGTGGCGATTGCATCGCTGCACCACAAAAGGATGGTCAGCACATAGATCCAACGCGGCGTAATCGGCCAACCGCAACGGTCGATACATCTACCCTGTTCCAGAGTCTCCATTGGCAGCGTTAGGATCTGCTAAACCGATGTTGTTCATGATGCCTCTGCTGTGGCTAGACATAGCTGAAACAAAGCCATGGATACTTCAAACCATTAAGGCCGTACCATAAAAGATGGCATGGTGAAGTGGACAGCTTCTCCGCTCGATGGTCGTGATGTGGATGCATGATCTGGTGGATCACAGCTTGTGGGACGGATATCAAACTATTGGCCCTTGGCATCATCACTTTCCTGTGCATTTCAACAACCTTATGGCGGAATTCAATCCTTAATTAGACTCCTTGCAGTGGTCTAGAAATGCAGAAGGGAATAGTTTATCCAAAAAAGGAAACTCGGGAAAGTGGGTTTTGAATGCTTTCAGCTTTCAGCCGTCTGTCATCCCCACAAAAAAAACATACTCATTGGACTGGTTTAAGGGACATTTTACAGGAATCCTTTCAACTTAACGGAAAAAAAAAGCATGGTTTCCTACGGTGGATGGAAGAAATCCTGCACCACCTTGGATGGTTGAAACCCTATAAACAATGGGTGCACCATCTATCAACTGGTGCAGGATTTCTTCCATCCACCGTAGTTTCCTTCAGATCTTCGCTTTAACGAGCTACCAATGGCAGATTGGAAAAGCCCAATTTTAGGCTTCGTCCTGGGGCCCCTGGGGCACCCAACATCAAGCTCTTGCTCAACTGCGCAGTAAAGCCCTGCCAAGACAAACATGTATGATACTACTAATGATGTTACTGTATGTTACTATGGAACCTATTAGCATGCCTTATTAAAATGCATATATATATACACACATAATTACATATATTACTGTATATCACACATAGTCACATGTTATAAATGCGTGCATATATATATATTTATTTATTTATTTATTTATTTATTTGTGCATTTAAAAATCATTTATTTATTCATTTATTCATTTATTTATTTTTTAATATACGTACATACATACACATGATTCGTCACATGATAGATTACTGTGTACAAGTGTGTATATACATATGTGTCTTAGAGAGAGAGAGAGAGGGGGGGGGAAAAAAACAAAAAAAAGAAAGCAAGCAAGCAAGGAAGGAAAGAAAGAAAGGCAAAGAAAGAAAGGAAGGAAAGAATGATATTCTACTAAGTTGTTGGCTGGCTGCACTCCGAGCGCTGGATTCACTTTACTCCTGGATTTCCCAGTTTTTATATCACCGGCAGCGACTTTTCAGTTCACGACCGTCGGACAGACTGCGATCAATCCAAAGCACATGCACAGTAAAGCCCAACTGCTTTTCTGTTCAAAGTTGGGCAAGGGGTGTCCACTTGGATATCTATTCATATTCTTAGCCGTTTAGATTTCGGGTATGGAACCTCTTCGATCACATCTTTTGAACTTTCAGCAAGAGATTTGTGAATAGGAATCTGATCCGAACCGAGATGCACACAACCAACCCAGAAGACGAAGAAACCCCCTCCGTCCAACTCTGCTGGCTGTCGCCACTAAAAACCTTGTGTGCATGGCTTGGAAAAATCCAGCATAATAGGAACCAGAGTTTTCCGTCCAGTATGGCCGGACAAGAGAAGAGCGATATCATTTCCGCAGTCATTCTCCGTGTACTCATGGTTTTCCATCAGCACGTCAGGACCATGCCAATGGTATTTGGTCCTGGACTTAAGGAAGAGATGGGGGCAGCCACCCAAAGTTTCCAGCTGTACAACTGTGAGCATTCCTCCCCATGGAAAAGCATTAGGTGGTCCAAATAGGCCGCTGTGCCAAAAGAACTCGCTGGAGGCAGCTGTACAGGGGTCCAACGAGCTTCAGCCAAGATATTTGAAAGTCCTGAGTGGAAACAGCAACAAATCACTTCATCTTATGGGAGATGGGTCAGATTTTCAGGTCTTGAGAATCTTGAGAACAGTTTTTGGTCATCAACATGAATAATCCTATTCTGATTGTGGTAGATGCTTAACGACCCTTCCAGAGATTCAATTGAGGGCAGGAAAAAGGATAACAATAAGACTAAAGACTTTTTGAGTGCAAGTCATTTTTCTCGGTTAAACGCCTATTAATTCACATAATAAATCATAGTAAACCAACATGTGCAAGGTGAACCATAAAATCCACCACCAAGCGCCACCAAGTGACTGTGTTCGTGGCTGTTTCCACAAGGTGATTCACTTTCACCTCCACATCTCTTCACTGAAGTTTGCCTGCTCTTTCATCTCGGACCATGTCCTGAGGACCACATTTCCGTAATGTCCAAATGGGTCCAACATGTCTGAAAGACACGAGTTTGAACATGCCTGGTTCTATTTGAACATGTCTTGGATCCAATCACCATCAATGAACTAATAAAATCATATAAAATCAAATCAATACCTTATCTAGCTCCAGTAAAGCATAACGGAGGTCAATTAAAAGGTCGCTCCAAGACATGTTTTCAGTTGTTCTGCTGGGCGACCTCCTGCACTTCGAAGCGATTCGCATAGTTACCCTCTGGTTGTTTAACTAGCGAACTGGAAAATCACCGTATTTAAGTTCGGTGAATCATCATGTTATCATCTATAAATGGGCCATGTTCCATCCATATTTTCCATAGTTATGTTTTTAAAAAACCAGAGGGTATCACGTACCCATGACAACTAATGGAGCACGTGCAGTGTCCGACACCGGACACAAGATGTCCATCTTTGGGTCGTGTGGGATGGACACCCCACAAAAAATAGGTGGCGGCTTCCACAAGACAAAAGACGGCATCAAAACTTCCCTGATTACTTAAGTTTCCCAAATAAGCTATGAATGACTACAATCACCCCCATTTCATGGATTTCATGGCTCTTATTTTCCAAGGCTCAGGTGCAGTGGCGCAAAACACGGCGCAATCGCCGTTTCCGGACACTTCAGCGCCGGGCGCCCCGCGCGGCGTTGAAAGTTGCAGGGCGTTGTCTCGGTCGAGGAGTTCTCGCCCGCCCGAAGAGAAGCGCGACGGAGCAGAGGGGCCGTGCCCGCAAAGCCTCGGCAGATTCTGCTGCTGATGCTGATGGTGATGGTTATCCAGGGTTTTTCTGGGTAAAACCATGGTATAGCATGGTTTAACTGTAATGTGGTGATGGTGATGGTGATGGTGATGGTGATGGTGATGGTGATGGTGATGGTGATGATGATGATGATGATGATGATGATGATGATGATGATGATATTTATAAGTCATTGTATCATCATGGACATACATTATATACATGATTATGATTATAATGATATTTAGCCATTGTTGCTGCCGTCTTCATGACTTGGTGTTTCTTATCATGCGGCAATGTTCTTTTTTATCACTCGTATGATTATGATATATTATGATTGTAGAATCATTGGTTTATGATCAATCATGATTGATATTAAAATGTCTACATTATTATTGATATTGATATCACGACTATTCTGATACATTTACTTAATCTGTTAGCATTATTGTGGTGGTGATTGCTATAATCATGTGTCATAAAAATATCAATGGTCTATTGAGTCTATTGCTCATGGCTGACCAACTGATCCAACTGGGGATAGTCAAAATCCAAATGGGCCATTTTTTGGAACTGGACAATGGGGAATTCTAGGAAAAAAAATTGAGGAAGAATATGGGGATATTAGTGATATTATATTGATGTGTCATTAAACATGTTGAAAATGACATGCACACCACGTATACTGGCTTGTTTCGAAAGAGACATGTGGTTGACACACCATAAGTTTCAGCAGTCACTTCCATCTCTCGTTGCCAAGACACCCACTGAGAGTCGAGAGGGCTGAATGACAATAGGCATGCCGCGTTTGATCTGTGAGGTCGTTGAACACACACTGTGTTGGATGAATCCCGTGAAGGGATTCCGCGCCATCCTCCTCAGCGCACATGGAGCAGCTCAGTTGGAGAACCAGGATTTCTGAGGTAATATATGGAAGATCCCCACTTGTATATGGGATTATATGGGATTATATGGGATTATATGGGATTATATGGGATTATATGGGATTATAAACCACTTAGTGTGATGCACATCCAAGTACTCAACCATTAGCTTTACCCAGTTTTAGTACTGTATCATTTACAGTATATTGATGTGTCTGTGGGTGACACGAAGGGAGGATCTGCCAATCATGGCTTGGTCAAAAATGCTAGATTCCCCCAGAATTGCTGTCTGAATACGGAAAGTGAAACTTTCTAAACCCTGGGAGTTTAGGGGTACCTGGGGTACCTCATCTTCCAACCTATCTCCAAGTTTTTGTCATAAAATGGGAGCCATTCTCCTAATTTCAGAGCCATGTCATTTTGTCCCGGTGGATTATATATAATATAATATAATATAATATAATATAATGTAATATAATATAATATAATATAATGTAATATAATATAATATAATATAATAATATAATATAATATAATAATATAATATAATATAATATAATGTAATATAATATAATATAATACAATATAATGTAATATAATATAATATAATGTAATATAATATAATATAATATACTATAATGTAATATAATATAATATAATATAATGTAATATAATATAATATAATATAATATAAGATAATATAATATAATATACTATAATGTAATATAATATAATATAATATAAGATAATAAAATATAATATAATATAATATAATGTAATATAATATAATATAATGTAATATAATATAATATAATGTAATATAATATAATATAATATAAGATAATAAAATATAATATAATATAAGATAATATAGTATAATATAAGATAATATAATATATATATCCCCATGAAATCCCCATTGAACCACCATCTTTCTTGGCTGACAATGGTAACTTGGAGGATCATCCCAATTAGCAAGCGCTTATATAATAACCATAGTTAATTCACCATAGTTTACCATTTATGGCATAGGTGGGTTTCTCCATTGAATGGGGACTTACCAGTGTCATTAACCAGCTAATAACTTGGGTGTTAAACTTCTATTTTCCTCCAAGAAAGTCGTGGGCCAAGGCGCCGATGGAGTGGTTCTTGGATGGATTCCTTGACCATTCTGCTGGGGCTCCTTGGAGGTGCTGATTGGGGGGTGATTCTCTAAAAAAAAATGAAGGGAAAAACACTAAATCTACTGGCTGTTAATAAATTTTCCCTCGTATTTGATAATGAATTTGATAATGAATTTGGGGGTAGGGGCTCCATTTTCACAGAAAACCCATACGTGTTTGGGATTTGATGTGTTTCTATGATCTGGGATGTGCTTTTATTTGAGTGCGTTCACCATATTTGTTTCGATCCTGGCGTCTATCTATCTATCTATCTATCTATCTGTCTGTCTGTCTGTCTATCTATATCTATCTATCTATCTATCTATCTATCTCTATCTATCTATCTATCTATCCATCTATCCATCTATCCATCTATCCATCTATCCATCTTTCCATCTCTATCTATCTATCTCTATCTATCTATCTCTATCTATCTATCTCTATCTATCTATCTCTATCTATCTATCTATCTATCTATCTATCTATATAGACATACGTGTATATATTTATATATGTATGTATGTATATATTTTTATATGTATGTATGTATATCTATGTATATATATATATATATGTATATATATATATGTATATATATATATGTATATATATATATATGTATGTATACAGAGGCTCGTCCCAGGTCCTGGAACTACATAGGAAATATGGGAAAAAACAAACTACCACTTCCTTATGAACAAACTACCACTTCCCATGAACATTCCTTAGAAGCAGTTGATGCTACGCACACGCGGGGTGGGGTGGGGGGGGATGGGGGGGGATGTTAACGTTCATGTGAACTTGCAGAAGCAGTTGATTGTACGCACACGCGGGGTGGGGTGGGGGGGGAAGGGGTGGGATGTTAACGTTCATGTGAACTTGCAGATGATGATGATACTAATGCTGATGATGATGATGATGATGATGATGTGATGATGATGATGATGATGATGACGACGATGATGATGATCCTAATGAAACTTGTCAATTCCGCGACGAAATTTCGTCCCGGAATTGACAAGTTTTACCAACCTAATTCGGGTTTGCGCAGTTCTAGGACCTGGGACGAGGCTATACATATATATATATACATACATACATACGTGTATATATATACACACACATACGCGATCATACGCGTGTATATATATAGATATATATACCTCACTAGTTCTTGCAGAAGACAGTTGAAAGGTACCTTGCGGCTGCTACAACAAAATCCTCGAGAACTGGAACTGCATGAGAATCCCTGCTTCACCAAGGTTCAAATCGAAGAAGGGATTGCAGGCCACATGATCTGGCCCGATCTTTTCATGGAGGTCGGAAGGAAATCGATCCATTGCAGGCAAGCACGAACTAGACTGGGCAAAGCTTCTGACTGACTTTGAGCTTTGAGGTCTGGAAAACGGCAGCCACTTGGCACATCTCAGCAAATCAAGGAATCTAGGCAGCTGCTAGATTCAGGTCTTGCCATGGCAAAAAATAGGCGCAATACACATAACATTAAAACATTTCAGAAGTTGCAGCTTTTCCGTTTCAGCTTGTGGCAGACATGGCCACATCATGCCACATCTATTCCGCCTGATAGAGGCTCCGCATGCCTTCATCTTTGGCGACACTGCTCAGAACCTCAGCAATCGCAGCTCTCCAAGTCTCAAAGTTTCCAGGCATTTTTGTCCATTTACCCTCTGGTAATTTAACATAGCTATTGAAAATACCCCATTTATAATTGATTTACCTATTCAAAATGGTGATTTTCTATAGCTATGTTAGTTTACCAGAGGGTACATCTTGGAATGTCATGGGATTTTAAGATTCAAATATCATAAATCATTCCAAAGATATGTTTCATGATGTTTCAGCATGGATGGATTGACACTCAAAGTGAAACACTCAGAGATTGGAGCCGGGGCCGGGGCTTGCCGCACTCCACCACTAGTGTTGCGAGCCTGCAGCTTCTTCCCAATAGCATTTTGATGTTCCCCATGTGTGTTTTGTATTTGTCTGCAGTTTCTGTACATATGTTCTTAGATATTGGTTTGTCTATACCAGTTGTTTATGTGTGCATGTGCAGATAGCTGCGGATATACGTATAAATATTATATATATATAAGAAAATGATATGATAAGATATATATATATATGTTTCCCACTATAGCACATACCCCTGTTCTATGTTTTGACCGCCATGCTTGCTCATTCACATGCACTCAAACTCCTCAAATTGCCGCCTGCAACCGGCCTGCACGGGGATATCTCCATCGTCCCATGAGTCACATGTCAAAAATCTGTGGAACATCGTGACCAGCCATCAGCCATCAGATTTTTGGGGTGACCGATGACTCAGCTCCTCAGCTCCCATCCCACCTGTACCAAAGACTTCCCCCGCATCAGTGGATAGGAAATCAGCAGGGCCAGTAGCTTCGCCAACACCCCGGCGAACGCAGCTTCAGCGGTGGAAAGCCTTTGCCTCGCTTTGGTGCGAATGATTCATTGGCCGGAAATTTTGTTGCGGATATTCCCTGAAATTTAGGCCTGAAAAATAGGCCTTATATATGGTAGCTACCTCCAATTTAGGTTCCTGAAATGGCCATTGAGTACAGGAACCTCTTCATCTTCTGCGAAATGATGCGTGGGTCATTGAGTCATGGTATGAAAAGATACCAAGAGAAACAAAACGATCACAATATGCCACTGAGAAGTAGGATTGTCAGTGGTGACTTGGGGATAGCATGAACCTCGAGGCAACACGACTGTGACTATGCCGCGTCAGGTTTCATATGTTTCATGTTGCCGCGCCAGGTGATTTGTTGTTGTCAAATGCCCAAAATTGAGGTTTCCTAAAATAATGGTAGCCCATGGTAGCCCCAAATCATCCAATTGAAACCCATGTTGACTTGCAATCTCCCATTTCAAGAAACCCCCTGAGACGAGTTTTGAAAAAGGTCCAGTCCTCCGCCAGAGTGAGAGGAACAGGTTCTTGATCTGCGCCAGTGCCTGATGTGTTACAGTCGCTGTCAGGAATAAATTGGGAAAAATCATTGCAGGAAGTTGGGCTTGGACCAAAGGAGCTACTTTCCCAATGGTGTCCTTGTGGGAAACAGACTGCCACACCGTTTACCATCATAAAAACTATAGTTTACCATGATTGAGAGTCATTTCGCCGCTTCAATGAGGGTGACCCCTCCATGAATCGATCTATGCATACCTATACTATAATCAACCTCTGCTACGAAAAATTGAAGTATTAATTATTGAGTGGCAATCATCTCCCTCTGGTAAACTAACATAACTATGGGGAAACCACCAAGTTTTATGGGTAAATCGGTAAATCAACTATAAATGGTCAATAGCTATGATAGTTTACCAGAGGCTATTCAATGATAGTTATCTCCTGTTAAATGTCTAATAAACTCTCCACCTCCACCCATGTCATCCTCCACCCATGTCGTTGCACCGTGAAGGTCAGGCCGGGATTGAGGCACAGCACCAAGTTCACGCCAAGCCTTTTGGAAACCATCGAACCATGGATGGAAAAAAAAAACGGGTGGAAAAAACATGTGAGGTCCCATGTTTTCTTTTGAAAACAAAAATCTGCAAAAATTGTGCTTCAGAGTTTCGAACCCCCATTCCATCCCTGAAAAAAAATATATGGGATTTAGTCTGCTTCAGTATTAACGTTTAATGTGGTCAACACAACAAACAAGGGATATGCTGTGTCATACCACCCAAGGGTGAAATTCTGTAAATTGCGGATGGTTGACTATTGGCTTTAATGTGGCAAAACCAATGCCATAAACCATCCCTAATGACTTGTCCTCGGTGGGATTCATACCCATTGAAGTTGATTCATATCCCACCATTCATACAGCATTAATGGCTAGCATCTGGTTATTTAACATAGCCATGGAAAATCACCATTTTTAATGGGTAAACCATCTATAAATGGGCCATTTTCCATTCAGAAATCCCCGTTCAGCCCAGCGTAAACGTAGATCATTGAAACTAGGGGAAACCTTGATGGTTTTCCACGGCTGTGGCTTTAAAGTAAATGACTTTTGCATCCCATTAAAATCCCATTAAAATAACATTTTAATCATTAAAATATATTAAAATGTAATAAATCCCATTCAATGATGTTAAGTCTCTGGTTTAAATGGCCATGGAAAAAATCACCATTAAACCACCATGGCCTCCAAAGGTCGGCTGGAAAAAATTGAGCAATACAGCCTGGTCATTTTGCCACTGAGCCGTCGCACCCGCGCCAGAAGGTCTTCAAACCTGCCATGGATGGTGAAGAAACAGACCCTGTCATGGCATTTTGTCTCAAAAATTGGCTGTGACGTATATATGTACACAAACCCATATCTATATATCTATTAATATACTATATATCATATATATATATAGTGAATCTATATATATATATATACACATACACAGAATACACATATGTTTATAGACCCGTACCCCCGATTCCAATCAAAGAGTCATGTGGATTCATCCGCGCCCACAGGCCTCCCTCGTGCCAGAGTACCTTCACAGCGCCCCTGGAAGTGAGTGGAGGAGACGAGGTCGTCACACCTAGGCATCAACGGACTTCCAAAACCATGGTGAACATCCTTGGAACTGGAACTGTTTCTGGTTGCCAAAGCTTCCAAACGTGAGCGGTTCCGGGGTCAAATTCTCATCCCAAACAAAGTGCTTTAGCCCTGTCATAGGTATCGCTTGCAATATGCTGTGCAACATCTTGTACATCTTGTATCATTTTCCATCGCATATCCATCCTGATCGGCGTCTTTCTAGAGGCCTGCACAGCCTTTATGTACAAATAGCTGCCAGTGCGATGATGTTTGCAGCTGCCAACAAAGCAACCTCAAACTCGGGATTAGGATTGTTACTGTATTTTTTTTGAAACATGTTGAAACATGTTGAAACATGTTGAAACATGGCGCGCTGGCCATGGTGCTCCCAGACTTCACTCATTTCTATCGTTTCTCGCAAATGCTAAGGAAATGATGTCAGCCATCTCAGCTGACTCGCCGCGGTGAACATCAGCCAAGTGCCTCAACCTCATCTCATCAAAGCCGTGTTGTGGAGTTATGAAAGACACACCCAGCATGGTCAAGGGAAAGATCAAAACTCAAAAGATATGGCAACACCAAGATGGTTCTACAAATATTACATCAACAATCATGGACATATATCAACATCTGATTTCCTCCAATCATCCAAACTACTGCAGGTTTTCATGTTCAGGCCACATTTTTTTTTGCGAAGGGACAGCTATTTCGAAGGGATCGCAGAAGCTCCTGCTCCTCCTGCAGGCTCTTGTGAAAGCCCGCCTTGGTGTTGTGATCTGTATGCACATCCCACCTAGGACCCTGAGATATAGAGAACTTTTGATACTTGGTGGCTCACCCCAGCTAGTAAGTTGGTAAATTGGTTATAACCCACTTACGATTCCTGAGGTGAACGGTCAAGTAGCATTGGAATGCATCTATTTGTCTACAGCATGATATTAGGATTGGTCAATCCATCCATCCATCTATAGTGTATAAGTGAAATGCCAGGGCCAAGTCGGTTTCTCTGAATGTGGTTTTGCCTCAAATCCAATAGTTTATCAGTGTTTTCCCTATCAAAACATCTCCAGAGATCTGGGAGCCAATCTCCCATTTTGAGACACACGTTATTCCCCATTCTATCCCCATTGCAGTGTATCCCTACCATAGTTGGTTCATGTTGGTTCTATCCCGTTTTGCGAGTTATAGTAGCTATAGTTATATTCCCCAGACAAACATATACCCCGAGCGGAAACGATTCATGGGAGGCTCGTCGTGCTAGTTGCGGGATCCAATTTACTTGGGGGGATCCCCCCACCTGGTTGCAAGTTGCCCCATTTATAAATATGGTAAGTAGGACAACTCCAATTTTTACTGGGGTTATAAATTAGTTACAATTTTTGGGGTGAACGTGGGTGAACCACCCAATTTAGATAATTTAGTTCCATTATTCAAATTTCCGAACCAATTATCATAATTTCATGTTGGGATATAATTTAGAACCAACTATAGTTCCACCAATGATAGTTGGTTCTATCCCACGTATCTTGGTCCCAGCCAACTCCACCAGGCATCCGCGCTGACACCAAGCGTTCTAAGCGATCGAAGCGTTCCGTGACGTGGCCAAGTTCATCGTCCAGGTGCTCGAAGGAGCTATGGCAATGTAAGCAGGACACAAAGGTCACCTGAGCCAACGACTTCTGTATGGGAAGTGTATATGTTTACCCATGGTTATATCAGGAATGATATCAGGAGTGTACTCCTAGTGATATATGCTATCAGGAGTACTCCTATATATTTGCAAATATCACTAGGAGATACTAGGAGTTACCAGTAGTACCGCACAAGGCGGTGGCGGAAGTTTCCACTGATGGACCGAAAGGTGGTTGAGGTCTCCTCTCTTTCTCTCTCTTTCTCTCTCTTTCTCTCTCTTTCTCTGATTATCTACCTACCTACCTACCGATCTATCTATCTTTCTTTCTATCTATCTATCTATCCATCTGTCTATCTATCTATCTATCTATCTATCTATCTGTCTGCCCATCTGTCTATCTATCTCTATCCATCCATCCATCCATCCATCCATCCAATCTAATCTAATCTAATCTAATCTAATCTAATCTATCTATCTATCTCTCTATCTCTCTATCTCTCTATCTCTCTATCTATCTATCTATCTATCTATCTTATCTTATCTTATCCTATCTCTCTAATCTAACCTTATCCTATCTATCTTTCTTATCCTACCTATCTATCTATCTATCCATCTATCTATCTATCTATCTATCTATCTAATCTTATCCTATCTCTCTAATCTAACCTTATCCTATCTATCTTTCTTATCCTACCTATCTATCTATCTATCTATCTATCGATCTATCGATCTATCGATCTATCGATCTATCGATCTATCGATCTATCGATCTATCGATCTATCGATCTATCGATCTATCTGTCTATCTGTCTATCTGTCTATCTGTCTATCTGTCTATCTATCTATCTATCTAATTAACTAATCTATCTATCTATCTATCTGTCTATCTATCCATCCATCCATCCATCCATCCAATCTAATCTAATCTAATCTAATCAAATCAAATCTATCTATCTATCTCTCTATCTCTCTATCTATCTACCTATCTATCTATCTATCTATCTATCTATCTATCTATCGGTCGATCTATCTTTCTATCTTTCTATCTATCTATCTAATCCTATCTTATCCTTTTGATCTATCTATCTATATTTCTTTCGTTCTTTCTTTCTTTATTTCTGTCTTTCTTTCTTTATTTATTTATTTCGTTCTTTCTTTATTTCTTTCTTTCTTTCTTATCTTATCTTATCTTATCTTATCTTGTCTTATCTTATCTTATCTTATCTATCTATCTATCTATCTAGCTAGCTGTCTAGCTGTCTATCTATCCATCTATATATCTATCTCTCTATCTATCTATCTATCTATCTATCTGTCTGTCTGCCTGTCTGTCTGCCTGTCTATCTTTCTATCTGTCTATCTATCTATCTGTCTGTCTATCTATTTATCTATCTCTCTGTCTGTCTGTCTATCTATCTACCTGTCTAACTGCAAGCTTGAAAAGGAAGCTATTCTGCGAGACATCCTCAGGTTTTGAACTTGACAACATCAAAAACGCAGCAATTCTGCGAGACTTCATCAATGTTTGAACTTGACAACGTGAAAAACGAAGCAATTCTGCGAGACTTCTGCATTTTTCAAAGCTGACAACATCAAAAACGAAGCAATTCTGCGAGCCAGATGGCTCCGCACCCGCCGCTTTAGCGAGCCTACTTTTCAACCCTCCGGAGCCACAAATCATTGGAAAAACACAGTGTTTCGCGACTTTCCTACCTTTTCGTGCACCTGGATCTTCTTTCTTCTGACTCTTTCTCTTCTCTGATCTTCTCTCTTCTACTCTTCTCTTCTCTCTGACTCTTCCCGTCTCTGCTCTTCATCTGTCCATATTGTCGGAAGTTTGACTTCTATATAAACTTCCTTCGACTATATGTTTACCTATGGTTATTCCCCATAGCCCCACAGGGTTAAGGGGGGAGGGTATTGGGCGCGTGTTCTTGCGTGTGTTTTTGCGGACATCCTGCGGGCAGCCACACCTTCTTTCTCCACTCATGCACGCCAAGATCGTTGCAGCTTGCACATGCTCTCTGCAGGGAAAAAACGACGCTGGCCTTCACCCCTCCATCGCTTGCAGCCCTCACAGGTGTGTTTCTGGGTTCGGTTTCAAAATCAAGTATTCCTATTGCATCATCCTGCGTGGCTGCTGGTTGCAATCGTGGGCTGGCGCTGCTGTCCTCTCTTCGTGCCGTTGGGTTGGTTGGCTGGGGAACCGTGTTCTCGTTGCCAAGTGCACGTCGTTCAGGCAAGCCCAGCATAGCCAACACGTCCGACGCACGTGCATGTGTCAACACGCACACACCTAATTATAGCGGTACTACTGGTACATACACGTAAACGTACCACATGTTCCTTGCACTGTGCTTGTGGGAGTTCCTGTGTCTATGCTGTTGCTGCTAGCTGATGTTCAGTGAAGTACCTTGCACACGTTTCAAGGGCCGACTACTCGACGCACTCTGGGTATGCACTCTTTGCATGGCTGCAGGGAAAACGCATTATCACAGCTCACCGGTGCACAGTACGTATGTCACTTGAAAGAAAACCTGCATGCTACTTAAGTAAATGGCTTCAGAGGGGTTACAAGAAAGAACCACTCAGGTTCTGCCTGTGAGCTGCCACACGGTTTTTGCAAGCCTTTTTCGCACAACGTGTTCCGGCAACCCATGTAGGTGACTCAGCATCATGCACCTGCAGCTCACCTGTTCTCCTTCCCATCGGTTTTCCCATAATTTTGGGAATTCCCATAAGATGGAAAACTGGACTCTCCCGTCCAGGTAAAACACCAAGTAGCCTGGGGTTGTTCGCCTAAGTCTCCTAGGTTCCAGTGGTTGATAAGTGTCTATCAGGCATATGGATTAAGTAATTATATACCTCATACATATATATATATATATGTATAAATATGTATGTATGTATGTATGTATGTATGTATGTATGTATGTATGTATGTATGTATGTATGTATGTATGTATGTATGTATGTATATATATATATGTATATATGTGTAATGTATATACATGTAAGCAATTAATTATTATGTATAATAAGGTACAGTATAATATAGGTGAGTTGGGTGCTGATAACTGTAGGGCACCATCTTGTGCGACTGAGGAGTTTCTTGTCCCAATAGTCAAGGCGCTAGGTACACAAATGTCGGAGAAATAATCTGGATATCCAATTGATATCCTGCAGGAAGGGTCCACCCAGGTATCAGTTGTAGATATAGATACATATACATATGCATATCGCCCATAAATCCTAGCTAGCCTAGTTGTAAACCAACTTATCTACAGTATCTATGGGTCGCAGCCATGGCACTGGCCCAAAGAAGGTCACTGCCCCGCAGGCGACCTTAACATTTCTGAAACTGGGCGATAACTCAAACGGTAATCAAAAACCTCAAATTTGGAAGTACCGAAAAATTGTTGGACAAACCAAAATAACCCAAATCTTTATAAACCATGCTGGTGGATTTGTAAATTGTCGGAAGTCTCAGCTGCTGGCCATGAGAGGGAATGCATAGTCACCAGCTGGAAGGGACAATAACCTGAGCATTTTCGCTCAGCGAACTGAGAACCGTGGAGCCAATCACATCTGTGTTTCTTCAGATTCATTGATTTGCAATAGTTTTAAATAACCAACTCAATCAACAATAAATCAAACTTCAAGCTGGGCTTTCAGTTTGCAAGCTCTTCCACAGCGCAATCTCTGCATATATATATACATACATATACATATACATATACATATACATATACATATACATATACATATACATATACATATACATATACATATGCATATACATATACATATACATATACATATACATATACATATACATATGCATATACATATACATATACATATATATATATATTTATATATCAACATATGGTTTGAACAATATATGCGTAATATAATATAGAGTGTGTAAATGTATATATAATATATAATTTAATATAATATATAATATAATATGATATAATACAATACAATATAATAAAATATAATATAACATAGTATAGTATAACATAACATAATATAACATAATATAATATAATATAATATAGTATAATAAATTATAATACAACATAATAAGACATAACATAACATAACATAACATAACATAATATAATATAATAAATTATAATACAACATAATAAGACATAACATAATATAACATAACATAAACATAATATAATATAATAAATTATAATACAACATAATAAGACATAACATAACATAACATAACATAATATAATATAATATAATGTAATATAATATAAATATAATATAAACATAATATAAATATAATATAAATATAATATAATATAATATAATATATAATATAATATAATATATAATATATAATATAATATATAATATAATATAATATATAATATAATATAATATATAATATATTTCATATATATATATATCGTATATATATATAGATATATTATATAATTAATGTATATAGAGGTAGAATATATATATATGTATATTATATAATTAATGTATATAGAGGTAGATAGCAATGTATAGCAAAATATGGCAGCCACCCCCCAAGACTAGCCCCCCCACATCTGACATCTCTGCCACAGCACCCCGTGTGATAAAACGCATAGAGCTGCGCCAGCACCAGGGCAGTTCCAAGAGCCAAAGCCACCAGCCAGTCTGAGGCGGAAATCCTGAGCCAATAGACACCAGCCGTATGTAGATATATATATATATGTGTGTGTATGTGTATATTATATATAATTACGTATATATATATGTATGTGTTACATCAAAATAAAATGTGTTTACTGTAAATACCAGCAAATAATGCTAAAGGTAGGTTCTGGTGGGGTATATAACCAACCATATGGAGGTTTCCTAACAAGGGTACCCCCAAATCATCCAAAAATTAGACCATGTTTGTATTTAAGACCATGGTGACTTGGGGATCCCCTATTTTAGGAAACCAATCTTATCATTGTTGTGTTGTTTTCGATACAAGTGTGTCTGAAAATGAGATGGACCTCCAAATCTGGAGCAATTCTAATACTGGCGAAAATGCTGCTGAACCTGGCTAGGGGAAGCCACTGTTCAGACAAAGCCACTTATCCTATAACTGAAAAACTTAACGTGGTAAAAGTTTAACTGTTCCTGGGTTGGTAAAAGTTTAACTGTTCCTGGGTTACGCGGTGAAAAATGATGTAAACCCCCCAAAAACACTAAAAATCAAAGCGCGTGGCTCCAAATTCATCCAGTGAAGTAAGTGGCTACTAGTCTGGCATGCCTCCAATATATGATCTCCATAACATGTTTGCTCCGAGCACTTTTAAATCCAACATTCAATGTGATTTCTTTATGGAAATGTTCTTCAATCATGAAAAATCCGCCATTCGGGGGTCGACATCGTTGACCCTTTTCCGGCTATGATGATGAAGGTTACACAGCTCCGGAAATGTCCCAGTTATCAGGAGGCAACCAACTACTGATAAACTACGACTGGCTGCTGACACAATCTGATTGGTGTCAATTTGACGGAAAAAAAAAGACTTGTTTCAATGGTGTCAATCATTCACAGGGAAGGTCGGTCAGAGCATCAAACATGTCAAAGCAAGCAAACGGATTGAACCGCCTTTACCATATACCAGGACCGTTGCGGAATCAATGCCAGCCATGACACCTCCTCTTGTACTGGAAAGCTCCGCCTGGACGATCAAAATCCCGATCCATGGCAGCCGGAAAAAACCTCCATTTATATAGATGGATTTTCCAGGAAATAACCCATCCAGCTATTGGGGATCTACCATGAAAACCCCATAGTATATATACAAATATACAAATATATATATATATATATATTATATATATATGTATATATATATATACGTATTGATCCATCCCTTCCCCAGAAAATCTTTAAAAGCCTGCATCCGCTCCGATCCCCAGTGAGGATGCCATGCACAGCGCGAAGAGTAACAGGATCACCAGGATCACCCCAGCGATCCTCGGGGCGAGAGCATGCCATGGTTAAAATATGGCCAGGGAACTCATAGGTCATCTACAAATGGGTTATAGATGTTGTATCGTTCTAGTGATTCTAGTGGATATATTTCCCTCGGGCCCCCATGTCAACAGTTCAACTTGAACTGTTAATGATTCATCAGGGGATCTGAAAGAAAACAAACAGGATTTTGACGGGCATTCCTCGAATTTTATGCAGCAGCAATACCAGAATGACCTGCACTATCTCATTATATCTCATTAATTGGGTTGCATCGACTAGATATGTATGGTTTCAATGTCCATACCCAATGACATACCATAAAATTGTTGACTTCATACTTTACAGTGGGGGGTGCACGTTTCAATCGTCTCAGAAATTTTGTTCACCCCAAGCCCTGCCGCCACACATGCCACGATTTCCAAAGATCGAGCCGCAAAGCCCCTGCTGCATGCTTGGATGCCAAGGTTGTGCCTTGAGACCTCAGAATCCAAAGGATCATGAAAATGGGTGTAGACCCAAAGCGTACAAATCACGAGGAAAATGATGATGAACCGTCAAATCTTAGGGTACCCCATTTTCACTAAGTCCAACTCTCAAATCTCATTGTCCAGCCCTGCAACCACAGAACAGAGTAACCCTGGTCACCTTTCTCGATGTTGATCTATAGCGGTGTTTGTGCTCACGTCTTTCTACGGAACATCAACATGAAATTCGAGTAAAGCCCTGACCACCAGACGGGTGTGTGTGACGAGCACACCACACCCTTTCTGCACATCATGACTTTGGCTATGCCGTTTGCCCTAACTGTTGCATGACTTAGGGGTTGTCTCAAAATGGGCCCCTAAGATCCAGAGGCTAAGATTCATTATCCCATTGAAAAATAGCCCGAAAATGCACAATTGTGTGGTACAAATTGCTGGTGTTTACCAGTTTACCACCCAGCCACAACAGAATCAACAGAAACCCTGTCTCTAAATTGACCCAGCTGACACGTGGGCATTCTGCGCGATAATCTGACGCTGCTGTGCCTTGGTTTGGCAATGTTTGCCACCACCTGACCTGCCAAAATGTGTAGGATACATGCCGAAAATAGTTGGCCACTTTTACAATATGGATCAATATGGATCAATATGGATCAACTTGGTGATATGTAAGTTGCCAATGTTTGTTCAGTTTAAATGAAAACTTCAAAATATCATTATGGATCGTTGCGTTCCCAAGCAATAACTGCTGGGTTTTCCAAGTTGCAACTTCTGCTTGAAGCAATCGTAGTTGCAGCGATTCACCGCCTCCAATGGGTGTTCTGTTGAACAAAGCAAAAAAAAACCTTGGTAGTTTCACATCCCTAAATCATATTGAATTATAAAGTGTGATGGTCAACTGGATGTACTCCACTCGTTCCATCTGGTTTCATAAAGCTGCGGCTTCAGGGGCGCAAAATTTTGGAACAGCCAAGGTGCCGCTGTTGAACTGCCTTGAAGGTTGGCTATGCCTTGGTGAAAGTCGCAGACATGGCCTGATCTTCCCGTCCCCCAAAAATAAAAGAACATGAGTCCAAAAATAGTGTCTGTGTTTATGAAAAAATAATATGTGTATATACCGATATACCTATGTATGTGTATGTATATCTATACTTAGATGTGTGTTTACAGGTGAATCTATATTAAGATGTTCATGCTTCTACTTGTAAACACATTTAAATGTGCTTCCCCCCGCTGTTCGGTTTTCCCCCGCCATGCATACCATGCCATGCCATATACCATACATACCATTGCATTGCATTGCATTGCATGGCATTGCATTATATCACGCTACATCACATTACATTGCATTGCATTACGTGGCATTACATGTTTTTAATGACATTCAACATGTAAATGTACATGTATCTATGTACTAGTAATTACTAGTATAAATATATATATATATATGGGGACCCTACAAAATACACCAGAATCACTAAGTGACACGTTAAAGTGGCCAATACGTGAGATGGCTAAGTTCGGGTCAATTTTTTTGGTGAAGTTCTCCCAAAAGACCAGTTGAAGTTGCTGTTGGGCTGCAAACTTGGATGCTCATACGGCTCCAAGCTCAAGCGATCCTTGTGGGGATTTTCTCAGCTGGTCACTTAAAATGCTGACATTGAGCAGTGAGCAGGGGAGGATACTTTAAAAGGCTGGTCATCAATCTATCACATTGATCGAAATGATATGAAATACTATGAAACTATAGCGTATTCCTGATTCTGTACAGAAACTCCAGTGAACCTTATCAATCTGCTGAGAAATTGGTTGAAAATCCAGTGGAGCTTCTCACAGTTCGTTCCAAGGCATGTTTGGTTGATAACGCAGAACAACCAAGAGAGAACATATCAAACATCTGTGGATAGCTTTGCAAATCTTTGCAGCTTTGGATCTTGCAGCAAGACAACGGGCGAAGGGTCGTCCGAGCATGTTTCCGCGACCTTTCGCTAAGGGGACTTATTCACTAAACCAAAGCGAACTGTTTAAAGACATCCACAGGCACCTAGACAAATGTGAGAAACAATTGGAGGGTGAAAGTCTGGTAAATGTCTTGCCCGATAGTGTGGTAAAGCCACTACACCGAAGAAGAATAAAGCTGCAATCCAAGATGGTCTATACCACTTCCAGTCCAGTAGAATTGAAGAAGAATGAGAATATTGGAGGTAATTTACAATGGTTTCCACAAGGCACTCCTTTCACCAGCCAGCTGCCCTGCCTCCGCCAAGCCCAAGTCCAAGAAAGCTGCAAGGACCAGGGCGCGCTGCAAGTTCCAGCGCATGTTCGGTATCTGAAATGCCCAGCTTGGAGCCACTGCGGCGAGCCAAATGGCCATTGCAACCAGGAACAAGACATCGGTGGCCCAAAAACGACTCATGTGGGTAAAACAATGTCATGTTTACCATCCCCCAGTCATCACCATAAATAATAGGTGGTATGGTTACCTTTCCCAGTCATGGCTGGTTTATTGTTGTTTTACCACGGTTTTACCCTTAAGGTGCTTGGTTTTAGACCCACGGTGCCATGGTGCCATGGTGCCATTGGGTGTCTCCACATGGATCTATCGTCGCCATCTGAGAGCGTCCCACGTGCAGCTACGCTCTCGAAAGGCATAGTGCTCAGCACGCTCACAGCACCTCGGCATCACGGAATGACATGGGTCATGACTGATGTCCCCATGGGTCACATCACCCAACCATGAATGGTATATGGTCTATAATGGCTACTATAAGGTGATGTTCAATATTCCCGAAATGGGACAGTTACAAACCCCTGAATGAGGACCAACAAAGGCGCAAAAAAAAAACCTTGGGCGCGGTTCGAAAATCGACCATGAATCGCGATTCTGTCACTGAATATTGAATGTGCTAAACTTGGCTCTAAAAGTTTGATCCGAGACTTGCCCCTCACGTGGCGGTCACAAATTGATCATTTCTAGAACATCTCCAGACTTCTCCAGTGCCAAGAGACAGCCTAAGGTTCGCCAAAAGAGACCCTGGAGAAAGCCCAAACTCTCCAAACGAAACCTGAACCAAGGCTGTCGTAGACATCAACCCAAACGCCCTGGGAAGGATCAAAAACAGGCCATAGCTGGCGGCTAACCTCTGAAGCAGTGCTTCACCCGCAAAAGCTGCAACCTGCCATGGCGTCAACCGAACAGGTTTTGAGATGCACCGATGCACCTCTTTTAGAATCACTTGGTGCAGACTCAACTGAATCAATGGTGCTGAGAAAGTCATGTCGGCCAGGCAAAGTCAGAGCTTCCTGCTCGGACCTCAAAAACTACGATCATGGAATCATGGCAGCTAAGAATTGGCTGATGTTTCCAATGTTTCCATGGCTCCCATGCGTCATGTGCAACGAGACAGAGGAACTGAGGAACCAAGGGCCCTGCTATGACAGGTGCGATGCCGACAAACAGCCCCTGACATCGTCCGGAGTTGCGATCGAATTCTTCCATAGATCCTATTGGTCACCAATCACCAATCGGGCTCAGCCACCAAGATTTTTCTGGGGCAGGATGACAGGTTAAAGATGGGATGTCAATTCCACTCAAATCCATCTCGCCTTGACTCCATTCTTTTGCAAGATGGAGAGGAGCCCATCCACCAAGCCACTGTACTGGTAGCTGGAGCCTATGATCATTCAAGATCTACTTATCAATGGCGCAAATTCCAGTCACGAGATGCCGCCGTGTGGCTGGCAAAGCTTTGGGCAGATGCTTGTAGTCGGCTCTTCACCTTAAATCTTGGACAATAGGCTGGGCCACACCAAATTCAATGCTTGATCATCAGACTCCACATAAATATTGGAAGTTTGGCGTATCCGACACATCCAGCCTTTTTTTTGGAGGGACCCATTTAAAAGCAGCTGAAAATTTGGTGCTTAGTAACAAACACAAAAATGCGTGTGACTGCCAACCAAACTAGGAACATAGGGCATATAACCACTAACAACTTAAGGCAATCTGACACAGCTGAGTTTTAGGGGCGTGGCAAGCTCCACAGGATAGAACCTCGCCACTTTCATAGGAAAAAAAACACAAAAAAATCGTCACACTTGGGTCTCAACATGTTTTCGAGATGGGCTCCAGGTGTCTTCTAACTCCACAAGAAATTCATCAATGATGTGGCATTTCTGTTGGTACATTACATATAGCATAAATGATACGTTGGAAACCACAAATGGAGTCCCCAAAAAAAAACCCTTGCTTCCCCCCATGGAACCACTCAGCACCAGACAGGACAGTCGTTAGAAGCTCACCTGCCAGGAAACCATGGGACCAATGGTAGTTTCCACAAAAGATGCCCCAAAGGTCCGCAAGATTAATGTTTACAAACCCAGATATGGGCAGCTATGAAGTTTTACATATGTATATGAATATTTGCAATAATATATATATATATATATGTATACATATATCAAATATATTTAATATAACATATATATACATATATATCATATAGTATATATATATATTACATATATATAATATAATATCTATTTATATATATATATTCTATAATATCTATTTTTATATATATAATATATAATATCTATTTATATATATAATATAATATTTATATATATATACTAAATATATATATATATTATATTATATTATATTAAATTATATTATATTATATTATACATATGATAGTTATGTAAAAGAAATACTATTATATCATATGTATATATATATATTATTGAATATATATATATATTATTGAATATATATATATATATATATTTATATATTAATATATAATATATAATATATAATATACAATATATAATATATAATATATCATATATAATATATAATATATAATATATAATATATCATATATCATATATAATATATAATATATAATATATATAATATATAATATATAATATAATATTTAATATATAATATATAATATACAATATATAATATTTAATATATAATATATAATATATAATATTTAATATATAATATATAATATATATGTATAATATAATATAATATAATATAATATAATATAATATAATATAATATAATATAATATATATATATATATATTTATGTCAACAAATTTTCAACCATATGTCCAGGCCCCGCCATTTTTTCTCTCCACTCAAAGCACATAGTCCGCGAAGGGCGGATGCGCCAGGAGTTCTGCCGGTCCCATTGGTAGGGCACCACTGTCTCGGTCCTTCGGCTCAGGAAAGCTGGTGGTGAGGTTCATGCCACCCAAGCCCACACGGAGCCTGGCAGCTCAAACTTCGGTGGTGGGTTGGAGATCTGGGTTGGAGATCTCTAGCCCGAAAAAATGGGGAAATCACCCAACTTTGGAAGTGGAGTTGCTTCGTTGTCCCATGGACATGTTGTGAAATGTTCTAATAGTTCCTATTCAATCACCCCATCAAAATATCATAGTCATAATTGATCCCACAAAATCCAGGTGATCCACATTTTTTTTGTATCCCACGGAACCACCATTAATACCCACCATTGTTATCCCATCATATCCCCTGAAAAAACAATCATGGGATCCCCAGCATTTGCCTGGCCATGGGAGACGGCCCGACCACCACCGGCTTCAAGCCGTTCCAGAGCCGGCGGTGGGAGACGGGCTCCGTCAGCAAGGCCGCACCCAGCAGACCAGCCATGAGGCGCATGAAGTGCCGCAGGTCCAGTGAGAGGCCTTGAACTCCTAGGGCCTTGGAGGTTTGGCCACGGAAAACTGCTGGTTTCTGGCAGTTTCTGGTTGTTTTTCTGATGATTTACACCAGAAAAATTGAGGTTGGGAAAAGTGTGATGATCAAACGTGAAGTTGAAGGGGATTTAGAGCTGATTTAGAGTGATGATAGTGAAGTTAGTTTATAGCTCCATTGATCTCCATTGTATCTAGTGTTCATTATACTTATAGCTATATGCAATGGGGTTCATGAACCAACTTACAACTGGGTGGCCCAGGAGTTCTACAAGATGGTGCCCCCCATGTAGATAGTTGAGTCGGTTTATGTTCGTAGGTGAACTGTGGGGTTTATGGTAGATACATCCAGCTGGTTCGATGGCTTCAAGGAACTTAATCTCATGGAAAAATGAATCTCACATTGAATCTTGAGAAAAAATATTTTAATAAAAATTCAAGCCCTCGGTTTTTGGGGCCAAAAAGGGAATGCTTGAAACCTAATGGAAGAGTGTTGTGAACCCCGAAAGTCCAGGCTACTGTAGCCACACTTCATTCCCCACAACTCATCTTGTCAAAATCAAGAATCACCGGAGATCTTCACAGCAAGTGGAGCACTTGGTGCGAATCAAGTGGCTTTGGCGCGCAATTCCAACCATCGTTTCTCCACTTCACGCCTCTCGGTGCAAGTCCAGGGCCCAAAGCTTCGATTTTCCCCAGCTGCGATGTGAACCATGCCTCAGTTGAAACCCGCGGGTTTCGCGTACCCCGAGGGGGCAGATTCCGCATAAAGTTGGATCCCAGAGGCGATGTGCGGAGCACAGCTGAGTAAATTGTCCAGCATCAACAGCAAGCTCCACCTGGCGGACATGGTGTGTCTAAACAATAGGATACCCATGGAGACCCCAAATCCTCCTGGTTTATGATCGTTTTTCCTACTTTAATAGCCACTTAACCGAATCATACCGAATCTTAGGTTGTTTAATGTTGTTTAATTTTGTACTGTTGGTATACCCTGTACATCCCCGTACCCAGTACTATGGTGTGGTTTCTGTGACAAGCGAAGGGCTGACTCTACGACAAGCTGAGGGCTCACTCTGAGACAAGCTAAGAGACAAGCTGAGGGCTCACTCTGGTGACAAGCTAAGAAGGGCTGTCTCTATTCAAGCCAGCACTCATCCAGAGTCACTGTAGTAGCTCAGTTCAGGCTTTAGATGGCTTGAAGGCTGAGTTCCCAGAATTCCAGTTTGGGGCTATAGATTAATCATAATTAATCATAATCCTCCACTTCCCCAAATGAAGGCGATTTGGGTCAGCTGCCGGATGCCTTGCCTCGACGCATAGGATATCTGGTCTGGGAGCAGAACGAGCTTCAGCGCCACCATTCTGGCGGAGAAAACGACGATTTCTTAGCACCCTCCGACATGAGGAAAACATGCATACCTGGCATAACCATTGCAACCAACTGAAGATTCACCTCAAAACAGTCTCAAGCAACAATCTGAACCAAAAATGATGCACCAAAGAAAAACAAAATTGGTTTTAGACACTTCAAATACATTTAAACCACCATCCCATGTTTCCCGGCAACTTCAATCAGGTCTTCGCCTCCCTTTGACCCTCCGTCTCAAAGCCCAAGTACAGGCGTCCAGCGACCCTGTCCGCCGGTTCTCTTTGAAAATGCGTTTTCCTTGTGATATTTGGTGATCATGATCATACCATTGACATACCATTGACATCTATTCATTTATATTCATTTACCATTGAATAGATATGATCTAAAACCATCGATCACCTGCAGTACACCTGCAGTGTACAGGTGAAGATCGAGCCAGACTTGCGCTTCACACTTGCAATCTAAAGCGATTTCTGTTGGACCCTGGCCCCTCCTCTGGTCTGCCAAGCTGAATTCAATCACCTGAGAGGAAGACTTGAAGACAGCTTGAGGGGTCAATAGGCTGGGGTTGAGGGAAGAAACTCTTCCAACATGGAAATCGCAGCGCAGGAATAGAACTAACTGAACTAACCATTCAAAAACATTCAAAAACAAAGTACTTGGACTTGGAACCTGCAAGGAATCCAACAGCTGTTGAAACCACAGTGACACCACTCAGAGTTCAAGCCGGGAGACTCGTACAATATTCAAGCGCACCGTCTCCCTTTGGCCTCTCAGGTCCATGAGGTCCATGTGCAGCCCTGATAAATGATGAACATGTCCTATACGTCGATGTTATGAGAATGGCCCTGATAATATGTGTGGATCTGTGTATCAATCTGAACGATCATGAGAATATTGATGATAATGATTTCATGTTATATCAATATGCTTTAGTTGTGGTGTCTATGCAGGTTGAGTTCTTTCTACCAATGGCAAGACTTCCAGAGTCGTTTCCCTCCCACCTGCAGCTGTGGCTGGCGCGGCACCTGCAATGGCGACGTGTAACATGTGTGACCCCTACCAACTGGTTGGGGGTCATGGCCAGTATCCAACTAAGTCTGTCTGAAACTGGGGATATATCTCCAAAAAATTGCCTCTTCAATAAGTCGGTGATACAATAGACGTCTTAAGGGCTGCCCTAGTTTCACCCATCCCCGCCATCCCCTGAAGCCTTGCCTGCGGCTCCACCAGCTGGGCCCTGCATCACTTGGTTAATCAGCTGATGTACCACGCCCGCCACCTGTTGCGCCGTGTTGGACGCGATGGCCGTGGCTACCGGTGGCGCTACAGGCAGCGCCGCACCGGCCACGCCCGCGACGCCCGCCACGCCCGCGGCGGGGGGGTTGGGCATCGGCAGGACGCCCAAGAACTGCGCGGGGAGGGTGCCTGGCGATTTACGAATATGGCTATGAGTCAAAACCCTGGCACCCTAGGTCCCCTAAAATAACTAAAATAGCGGTTAATGAATGTGTCTTCCTCCAAATATGGGCATAATAAATAGGTTTTGACTCATCCCCAGGATATTAAAGTAAACCTGATGATGATTTGGATACATGCATATCCAATTACAGTGCATTGCATTACACTACATTAAATACATATGGGGGATCAAAACCATGTGTTTCAATACTAAAATATACTAAAATGATCTATAATTTGGATGATTTGGGGGGTCTCCCCATTTTAGGAAACCTCCATGTGCTTGGTCCAGTTTTCATCTCCCCATGTCTCTGCGCCTGGCATATTCTGCACGCCTGGCGCCTGCGCCGCAAAGGCTGGCGCCGCCACGGCCGCCGGCACGGCGGTGCCGGGACCCAGGGCGGCAACCGCTGGGGCAGGGCCAGGGCCCAGTAGGGGCATCGTCACTGGCCCCTGAATTTCCACAGGAAGTGGTTTTTCCGGGAAATCACCTGAACCTTCAACCTGAACCAACCACATCAAACGATAGTCGTGTAAGTAAGAATATGGGCACAAAAAATTGAATGTTTCCATGCTAAAGTTGCTAAACATGGACAGAACATCGACATCTGCGCCGTCCCAGGGATTGAATGCTGATCCACAGCCCCTGGTCCTGGAATGGTGCGGGCGTTACCCCATTGCCAGGAGGAGGTGGTGGCGGCTGCGTCGGCGGTGGTGGAATCACCTCAGATGGAACATGTGATCTGCAGCAAGGGGCTCCTGCTAGTCAAAAATAGGTTTACCGTATATACACCTAATCCATTGGGATTGCCGTACTATATAATAGGAATATATGGGGTTATATGGGGTTATATGGGATTATCATAGAGTGGCCCTCCGGCACCCTTCGCCAGGGAGCAGAAACCGCCGGCATTGCAAAAGACTGTGTCTCCACGGACATGACCTTGGACTGCCACAAAACAAAACATTTGCTCTCTGGTAATTTACTATAACTAATAAAAATGGCCCATTTATAGATGATTTACCTATTGAAAATGCTGATGTTCAACAGCTATGTTAAATACAGTAACCAGAGGGTAAACATCTGCTGGATGAACCCATGGGAAAATATACGAAAAAATGTGGCCAAATCGGCAAATCCAGGTGACATCAAGACCATCCAAGTTAATTGGCAGCTCATCTTGTCCCATTGCCAGGCATTCGCGTGCCAGTTGGCACCACTTCTGATGTCGCAACTGTGTTTCCAGTCGATTTCGTAAGGTGCACCAAAGATCGCAAATCTCCTGAGCCGAGCCACGAATGGATAGGGACACCCATAATACTTTGAGAAAAAAAACACGTGTTGGGATCGTAACAGATCTTTCCGATCCACAACCCGTTTGCAGGATCATACCACTGTACTTGAAAATGCGCTGACTAGTCATGTTTCGTCAGCCCTTTGCGCATGCCCCATTCATCAATGCTTGAGCCAGCCACTCATTTGATTTAGTATGTAAACACACGAAAACCCCATATGTTTGGTGCGGAAATTCCACATCCCATAACTATTATAATCACAATCGTTGTAGACTACTTGGGACTATACTATAAAAAAGTCACTATAGTCATCCTGGAGTAGACAGAATCTGGAAAGTTCGAAAATTCCTCTGGGAATATCGGCATAACTTTCCAAACCTTATATTCTATCTACTTCAGGATGATTCTACAAATAAACATCACCATACCATGAATTAAAATGTTTTTCAGTATCTAAGAACAGATACCACAAATATAACATGTATATTACTCACTATCATCCATTATCCATATTCGTATACATATATATACACACGTTTTAGATATTATAATCATACCATATACATTGTTACACATCTGCATATTATTACCATACCATAACATCTCTACATCATAAACTATAGCTATAACCTTTTCCATATACCTTTTTTTGCACAGTCAATTCTCACCATACCTGGTTCTGTCACATAGCATAGTTTAAATCACCAGTCATCGCCATTATTCATAGGTAAATCATGATCTGGTAAATTAACATAGACCCTGGCAGATAGGGTTTGGAAGACTAGTATCCATTAAAAATTGATGATTTTCAGGGTCTATGTTAATTTACCAGAGGGTACATCCCATTAAAATCACCATTTTGTTGGTTAACCCCCATTAAACCACCATAAAACCACAGCTGACCCCCGGGCACCCCGGGCACCTTGGCCGAGGCCTCCATCTGCGGCAGCACCGCTTCGATCTCCCAGAGCTCCAGCTGCGGCGCGCGGCGCCGCAGCACGCTGCTGGCGGCCGTCAGCCTGGCGCGGCAACGCTGGGAACGCTGGAGGTTCGTTGGGCGCATGATGTTTATGTATATACATATATACATATATACATATATATATACATATATATAATTGTAGTAATGGTGTAGCGCAGTAGTTGTAGTTGTAGCATAGTGGAGTTGCAGTTGCAGTTGTAGTTGCGGTGTGGTGTAATTAGTGTAGTGTAGTGTACTGTAGTGTTGTGTTGTACAGCGTGCTAAAGTGTAGTGTGGGCTAGTGTATTGTAGTGTAAACTAGCGCAGTTGTAGTTGTAGTGTAGTGCCGTGCAGTGCAATGCAGTGGTAGTTGCAGCTGTAGTGTACTGTAATGTAATTAGTGTAGTGTAGTGTTGTGTAATGTAGTGTAGTTCTAGTTGCATTGGTATTTGTAGCTGTAATGTACTGCAGTTTAATTAGTGTATTGTTGTCAATGTAGTGTAGTTGCCATTGTTGTTGTAGCTGTGGTGGTGGTGGTGGTGGTGGTGGTGGTGGTGGTGGTGGTTGTGGTGGTCGTCGTCGTTGCAGTTGTTGCAGTTGTTGCAGTTGTTGCAGTTGTTGCAGTTGTTGCAGTTGTTGCAATTGTTGCAGTTGTTGCAGTTGTTGCAGTTGTTGCAGTTGTTGCAGTTGTTGCAGTTGTTGCAGTTGTTGCAGTTGTTGCAGCTGTTGCAGTTGTTGCAGTTGTTGCAGTTGTTGCAGTTGTTGCAGTTGTTGCAGTTGTTGCAGTTGTTGCAGTTGCTGCAGTTGTTGCAGTTGCTGCAGTTGTTGCAGCTGCAGTTGCAGTTGCAGTTGCCGTTGCCGTTGCCGTTGCCGTTGCAGTTGGTGTTGTTGTTGTTGTTGCTGCTGCTGCTGCTGCTGGTGTTGTTGTTGTTGTTGTTGGTGTTGGTGTTGGTGTTGGTGTTGGTGTTGGTGTTGGTGTTGGTGTAGGTGTAGTTGTAGTTGTAGTTGTAGTTGTAGTTGTTGTTGTAGTAGTAGTAGTAGTAGGAGCAGTGGTGGTGGTAGTAGTAGTAGTAGTACTAGTAGTACTAGTAGTACTAGTAGTACTAGTAGTACTAGTAGTACTAGTAGTACTAGTAGTAGTAGTAGTAGTAGTAGTAGTAGTAGTAATAGCAGCAGCAGCAGGAGGAGGAGTAGTAGTAGTAGTCGTCGTCGTCGTAGTAATAGTAGTAGTAGTAGTAGTATTAGTAGTAGTAGTAGTTGTTGTTGTTGTAGTAGTAGTAGTAGTGGTAGTGGTAGTGGTAGTGGTAGTGGTAGCAGAAGAAGAAGTAGTAGTAGCTGTTGTAGTAGTTGTAGTAGTTGTAGTAGTTGTAGTAGTTGTAGTAGTTGTAGTAGTTGTAGCAGTTGTAGTTGTAGTAGTTGTAGTGTAATTAGTGTAGTGTAGTGTAATTAGATGTAATTAGCGTAGTGTAGTGCAACTAGTGTTGTGTAATGTACCGTTGTATATTTGTACTTGTAGTTGAAGTAGTACTGTAGTGTAGTGTTACTTGCAGTTGTAGTTGTAGTTGGAGTTGTCTATCTATCTATCTGTCTATTTGCAACCTTGAAAACGAAGCTATTCTGCGAGACTTCCTCAGTTTTTGAACTTGACAACATCAAAAACGGAGCAATCCTGCGAGACTTCCTTATTTTTTGAACTTGACAACGTCAAAAACGAAACAATTCTGCGAGACTTCCTCATTTTTTGAAGTTGACAACAACAAAAACGAAAGAATTCTGCGAGACTTCCTCCAAAAATGGAAAGTTGAGTGCAGAGCTGATGGCCTTGTACCAATGCGTTTTGCGATTGTTCCAGTCCATCTGTCTAAACTACTGCGCCTGCCACGAAAAAGTGATGCCAGGTCATACGAAGTGCTGCACCTGTCACGCAAAATCATCTCAGCAAACCTCAAGATCTGATGCTCCAAAATGCAACCCCTCTCAGAAAATCAACGCCCGGGCCTGATGAACATGTCTCTTGTACTGCGCCTGCCACGGAAAATGCATCTTTGCAGATCCTCTTCAAATGTCCCACGCCTGCCATCGTTTTTGGAAATGCTACAAAACCCTCACGTCTTTCTCACTTTTAACACGGTGCACAATCCCTTGCGCCTGGCACGCGAAACGACACTTCAAAGTCCAAGAGTGGCGCGAACATGTGATGCTTTTATCATTTTGACTTCGAAATTTGCTTCGCGCCACAACAGCGTGCACTTTTTCGACATCTCAACTTCCAAAAGTGGTCCGGGCCTGGTGTGCTTTGTACTTTTTGACTTCGAAATGTGCTTCGCGCCACAACAGCGTGCACTTTTTCAACAGCTCAACTTCTAAAAGTGCTCCGAAGCTGAGATGTTTTGTGCATTTTGACTTCGAAGTGTGCTTCGCGCCACAACGGCGTGCACTTTTTCGACATCTCATCCGGCCAGATGGCTCCGCACCCGCCGCTTTAGCGAGCCTACTTTTCGACCCTCCGGAGCCTCAAATCATTGGAAAAACACACTGTTTCGCGGCTCCCTACCTTTTCGCCTTTATCTTCTTTCTTCTGAGATTTTCTCTTCTCTGATCTTCTCTCTTCTACTCTTCTCTTCTCTCTGACTCTTCCTGTCTCTGCTTTTCATCTGTACATACTGTCGGAAGTTTGACTTCTAAACTTCCTTCGGTTATGTGTTGGCTTATTATAGCGTATTGGATTATGGTAATAGTATATCATGTTTTTATGTAATAATATCATACACATTATATAATATAGTGTAACATACTATATATAATTATAATGTAATGTATTGGATGTATACATACTAATATGTCCATAGACAGAAAAGACCTGTATACATATATATATATATACTGCATATACTACTTACATGGGCCATGGTCAAAACATGAAGTGTGGGGTATGGTCATCCATCCCAGAGCGGGCTGCGGATCAGAGTCCACGATCAAAAATTGGCACCGCCGACCCCATTTTCTCAATAATTCCCTGGTTGATTCAAAGGGAGGGTACCAATTTTGACGGCTATAAAAACGCCATTTTGGGGTCAAAAAAATTGCTAAAAATTCATCCGGGGCTAACGTTAGTTGCACAAGAAGACATTATATAGACAGGTGTTGTGCAAATATATTGTGAAATGGCTCTTGGGATTTGATTGATTTGGATTTCAATGGTGATTCTTCAAATTTAACCAAAGTCGGATTTTCGAAGCAAAAAAATAGGTCTGGCCTCAAAGGCCTAAAATATCAATCACAAACAAAGATGTGTCGTCCCACATTTCATAGATTGAAGGAAGATTGAAGCAAGTTTTCGTGGTTTCCTGTAAGTCAATCAGTGAATCATCACTCCAGCAGCATCAGAACCTGGAGATGATGCCACCCAGGAGGGAGTCGCGCACGCGCCAAAACCATCCCCGGCTGGCGGAAGCCAGACTTCTGCTGTCCACGAGATCCGGCAAAGCACCTGGAGGTAGTGCGACTGAGTTGGGGAGTTTTTTGATGTTTTTTGGGCCTATCTTCCAATAAATCTTAGAAAGTTTCAAATATCTTTCCAAATCATCCATCTGTTGGGTGACGGCCGCTAGACAACTTCTCCTTGGCACAGCTATGGGTCAAAGGTGGTGAAAGAAAGCACCATCCCATTTTGCCGCCTTGCTACAGAGTATGTATATTCTTTCTAGGGCCTTGCGACAATGGAGAAGGGTGGCTACCAAACTGGATTGGTCCAATCATGAAATCATCCAAAATGGGGTTCTTGAAATCATCAAAAATCACCATCCCAGGTTGGGCAAAGGTCCAAGGCTTCCAAGGCACGCAGAGCTTTGAGGCCCTCAAGGCTCGCCAGTTTTGGAGCGCCTGCGGAAAATGTCGGCGATGGCCCTTAATTAAAAGGCAGGATGATCTTCAACAAGCATCAAGAATAGGCATATTATAGCGGCATATGAGAATATAGAATTAGATTATTGATGAACATAAAATATACCATAATATGCATGTATATAATATCATATAATATAATGTAGATAGAGAGAGAGAGAGTGTGCGTGTAGGACTGATGAATACCAATGATTATATAATAGTTTTTACATGTTACTAGTACATGTAATACAAGTAGGTAAAGTTTCAATAATGGAAAACCCAGATGATGGAGAAAAAACATCTTCAACATAGCTCTGCTTCTCAAGGTGCGCCTGAGGCATCATCTATCCTGGCATGAAATCAGCAGCTTTGGACCCAAAAATCGGCTACCCGGCTATCCCCAAAATCCAGTGGTTTATCAAGGCTTATCGTCATGGTTCCTCATCAAAGTTGCCAGTGACTTGGGAGTATTATCCCACGAATGACACACAAGCGTTGCATGGTGTCCTTGGGCGGACATTGCGTTCTGAATCAGCTGCTTCCTGGTGACGCTTTGGCAGTCTCATGGCCTATGCTGTGCAATCACTTGGGCCTTGGGTCTTCGTCAAGATTGGATGCCCAATGATACCCAAGAAAATACCGAAAACTGGGTGTTGAATTTTGATCTATGTGAATATTCATAGCTGCTATAGCTGTTTTTGGATAGAAATTTGGGATGTCGGGATCCCATTCCCTGACCTCCATTGATCCCGTCCTCTGGTTGTTCCTTTCGCTTGTTGCTGGAAGCAGCCCCATCCGCCATGACCGCAGCACTTCTCAAGCGCTTAGACGAACAAACTGGGAAATTCCAACTACACATCCCAAAAGAGGCCCTCAGCCTGGCAGATGTGCAGATCTCTACTGCTGGTGTAGCCCTTGAAAAAGCTTCGCATGCCAGGTGTCTCACAATTTGGAGGCGTACAGTATTTTTATGTGCAGAGGAGTCCAGTTGCAGCTGCCGTTGACATTGACTCTCTGAGATGCTGTTGTAATTTCCGTCTGTCTCCATTGAATTCAGAGCTCAAGTATCCTGCGAGACTGAACCTGGAAGCCTGAAAGCCTGCCCAATGGGCTTATCTCAGACTTCCAAATCCTCATCTCCAATGGTGTTTCATCATTTTCCATAATTTGTTCATCATTTTCCATCAATTTTCCATCATCTTCCCATCTTCCCCCCAATTCAAAAGGCCAAAAAATGGGGGCCTTTTTCTCCGCGTGCCTGCAGTGATACTCGCTGCCACCTCCAAAGGGCTGGGCCTCGGAACAGTGCTGGAAATGTACTGTCAGTTCTGTCATTTTCTCATGGCTGAATCCGATAGTAAAAAGGAGTACCCTCTGGTTATGTCAACAGTTAGCTATTGAAAATGGCCATAGAAATAGTGAGTTTTCCCGGTGGAAAAATGGTGGATCTTTCCATAGTTATGTTAAATTACCAGAGGGTATTTCAGACACAATTTTACCATATTTTACCAGCTGAAAAAGTACTACACAGATAAATCAGATAACTAAAGAGCCAGGGAATTGCTTTACAGTACTATACTTATTCTTGGTCTGTCTCAATTTACACAATGACTCATGCGAATGCTGGACCAAACAAATTTTGTATCATCATATCATCAGCCATCCTCCAGAAATCAGGTGTTTCTTGTCAGGAGGCTCTGAAGGAATCATTGGCTGCGGGGAATCATGGGCAGGGCTCATCACGAAAGTCAAGCGGTGCCGCAAATCTTTTGAATATGATCTATGTATGTGTCTTCTTTGCATCGGTTATAGGCTGTATATATATATAGGCATCAGTTTTAAGTGTATGAGTTGATCTATGATAGATGCACATGAGCCTCACATGTGGTAGCCTCCAGGTCTCACCCCTCAGTTTCCAGGGGTTCAGAATCGACTCGATCTTCTTGAACCAATGTTGTTGTTGCGAAGGCTGTTCAAAAGTATGATCCCCATGTGTTCACTGGTGACCATCTGTTGGGTTCAAGCGCGGCAAGCGTTTTTGGACCAGCTGATTTCAAGGATTTAGTGCAGATTCAGCGAATGACCCTCATGACCAGTGAGCAACAATCCATTTGACTCTCCATCAGAAAGTAAACTGTCACCAAAGCAGAAAGCGGAAGATCACTCAATTTTCCCCCGCTTCCCGCATTGATCCCTTGTGTTGTGACTGCATGGCAGTCGCAAAAAGGTCACAATGACATCCCCCTGCCAGGCTCTGGCTTCCCCGAAAAAAAACAACAAGGAGTGGCGTCAGCTGGTCAGGGCTCAAGTGGAGTACCAAAAAAACACATCACACCATTGGCATTGTTCGCATTAAGCCATTCAAATCGTGGCTTTGAAAATATGTGAAATCCCACTTTTCCGTTGGTTTTTCTCATTTATAAATGGGTCAAATCATCCATGTCCCTGTTTTATCTTGTTTTTAATCTCCTTTGAGCCATTCCCAGCTCACCCAAAGTAGATCTTCTCCTTCTTCCGCTTCTTCTGCGGCGTGTACCTTGGCTGGTTGCAGTTGATCCCAGTTGCCACCTCCAGCTCCAGATCTCTGAGGTCTCGGGCAAGTCATCGTTCTTATCAGCGTACCGTCGGCCATGAGGAAGTCTGGCCATGAAAAAGAGTGGCTATCAGGGAGAAGAAACACGACCTCTCTTCAGCTCTTTTTTGAGGATCAATTTCAGTAATTATATGACATATGAAAAACGGCGTGATGAATGGAGGCTTCTCCGCCTGAAAATTGGATTGTCTGAGCATGTTCTGGTCGGAAAATTCCTTGATACACATGGATTTGTAAAAAATAAACTCCGGTGCTATCCCCAACAGCTTGAAAGTTTCTGCATCTTTGCCATAAAAAGTGCTTATGCCATAAAAATTGAGCGTTTATGCCATAAAATGAAGTGCTTATGCCATAAACAACATCGGAACCCTTTGGAATTTCACAAAGCATCTGCACCAGAACCCTCCGGAACCTCACAAGGTATCTGCACCGGAACCCTCCGGAACCTCACCAAGCATCTTCTCCGTCAAAACCCTCCGGAACCTCACAAGGTCTCTGCACCGGAACCTTCCGGAACCTCAGAAGGTATCTGCCCCGGAACTTCCGGTACCTGCACCAAAACACTCTAGAACCCAACCAAGTACAGTATCTCCACCGTAACCCTCCGGAACCTCTACCTGCACCGGAAACTTCCGGAACCTCACAAGGTATCTTCACCGGAACCCCGGGAACCTCACGAGGTATCTGCACTGGAACCTTCCGGAACCTCACGAGGTATCTGCACCAGAACCCTCCGGAACCTTGTCCGGAACCTGGTGTTGAAGCTGCACCGGATCGCACCGGAGCTAATCTGGCCTAAAATTTTCCGCACCATACGCACCATAAGGATCCATTCAGGGTCAAGTGTGGGAATTTTGAACCCAAACGATGGCAGAGGTATCTCCCCACAAGGGCCTCTTCAGCGCCTCATTTCCTGGAGCCAAAGGCCTCAAATGCCCAACGATTGGAATCATTGTACAAAAATTGGGAATCTATGGCTATTGCTGAAGGAAATTTGTGCGTCCTATATATATATATGGCTTTGTCTGAAAATGTTGGGTATATTCCCAATGAAATAGCCATTTAGTAGGGATTGTCTGATCAGCAAAACCATTGGGTGTAGTAGCTATTTTCAGACACACCCATATGGCTATGGATCAATACCTATACATACCATTTTTAGGGGGATGAACATCCATTTGCCAGCTATATATATATATAAAACGTCAAAAAAAATACCCCAACAAGGCACGGTGAAAAGCCTATCTTTTCCCCGAGCCCGGTGGACTTGGTGGAACATCTGCCGCATTCCCCCTTTTTGGCCAAGCTACTCTGGCACTGCCAGCTGCGGTGGGGGTGCGGACTTCTCCCTGATCAAGGGGAAAATCCATAGGTCTAGATCTGAATGGACTCTTAATACTTAATCTTTATGTATATACATACGCATTTGTGTTTTTTTTATGTGTATATTGTAAATGTATAGATTTGTGGATGTGTCTGTATGTCTGTATCTTACATATGCATGCATGCATACGTGCTCAGCTCAAAAAGAGTAAGCGGTATGGTATGACCAGCCAGATACCAGAACGCCATAGATAGAGACCATGAATTCCCCGACTGAACCAACATGGAGACTTGGAAAGCCCTGTCATACCTGTCCATGCTGGATATTACTGTTCAGAAAGTTATCTGATGTTCAAATCAACATCAAATGCACCTGCAAAAGTAGCTTAAAACTAGCGGAGGGAACGAAAGATATAATATAACTCGTTCTCAACAAAGCAACCGTGAATT